GAGGCTTCTAATAAAGCCGTACCTAAAAACTGCAGAGCAACATGGTAACCTTTGCTGGTTACCCCTGCTCTGAGCACAGGAGGAACAAACGCAAAATAGTCCCTGCAACGATACCACACCATTTACGTCAGCGCTAGCTACCTTCAGAAATAATGCGAGCGCTTACCAAGAAGTTCTGTGGGTAAAACTTTGACTGGAAAAAGAACGTAAAGACAACTTTCATGTTCCTCCTTTACCTTACTCCAGCCTCCTTCACAAAAAGTCCACCGTAACGTGTTGCCAGCTGTCTCCAAATCCCTTTGCAGTTTAGATCACTCTAGAAGAAAGCAGCTCCTGGCTCAACAAGCAGTTATGTTGGTGTAAGAAAGCGCACAGCATTCTTACTGTGCAAGGCCACCAGCTCTGCAGAGGAGCTGCCTGGCGAGGCACCCTTGTATCACACTACCCACTTCCAACTCTAGGTTTATTGCAATTCCCTTGATGAATCCAGCTGCCAAAAGCTACGTGAAATGAGACAATTCTCAGGATACCACTTAAAGTCACTGCCACAGCAAAATAAAAGGAGTCTGGCCTGATGGGGGATACTTGCCTAGACAGACCCCAGGAAACACCACCTTGCAGCCAGCCTCAGGCCCTTCATATCTTGGGAAATGGCAAAACACCAATAAAGGCACAGCCCCTCTCACAGAAAGACCCCCAGAAAGCATTATTCTAGAATGACTGGAAATGGCCTTCTCCATGTAGAAAGAAAGTAACATTTAAAGTTATTTACTCCTGTATCTTCCCACTTGGAAAACTGCTCTTGTCCTCAGAAATACCCAGAAACCCAAAGCAAGCCCCTAAAGGAAGAATGTGCCCAAAAAACCTCCATACGGTTGGTAAGACTCGAAACTAGAAGGGGTTCTTTCAAGCTTGAACAATTACCACACAGCTGTACCTCTACAACAGGTGCTTTAACAAGAGCAAAACAGAGTTTGCAAACATCAGTGGAATGCCCCTCGGGGTGAGATGGTTCTTTAGAGCTCCCTAGGTTAAAAAAAAAAAAAAAAAAAAAAAAAAAAAAAAGACACAAACTTTTATTGAGGTTCAGTGTAAAAAGAACTCCTAATTGATAATCCCGCTAACCTCTCACTAGGTGGGAAGGATGTCTAGATATCCAAGAGAACAAGCACTGAAACTTGATGCACAGGATGGAAAGAAGCACTGACTTTCCACCCATAACCCCTAAACGTTCCAATACTGTAATTCTGTACTACAGGAGCATCCCTCTCCCTCTGCAAGAGGTTAAGAGTGCTGCAACCCCAATTACTGTCTCAACACTCACCCTCACACAAAGATTCTGCTGCAGCCCTCACAGCTCTATTTACCATCAGAAATACCGTCCAAAAATTTAACAAGTTAGGAAGAAATGTTTCTTAACAATAAAGACATAAACTGAGACCTCGCAGCAACTTCCTGAGCTTTGGGCTCATTCTATGGAGTGAATTTTGAAGAACAAAAGGATGGCCAAGGTCTCAGTGCCTTCACAGCTCCCTCTTCTCCAAAGCACTGAAGTGCACGGTGAGGAAGCCAAAAAAGAAATATCAGCTTGTGAGCAGCTTCTGTGGCAGTCGGGAATCCAAGAGCACGGTGGAACACTGTGTGAGCACGCACAACACTCAGCAGAAACCTGGGGCTGCTTCTGCTTAGCTTAAGGAAGTTTTTGAAAGATTGCGTCCACCTTACTGGGGAGATTGATCAGAAACAGGGTTTCTAATAGGGTTCATTTCATTGGTATTTAAAAATGTATCTACATTTTAGACACTTGCACAGCACACGATTCGTACAAACAGCTTTGTGTATTTTTATAACATGAATACTTTGCCTCTGAAATTCTAGAGAAGAGCATACCTGGAATCTCATGTTCCTAATGACCGTAACAGCCCAAGCCTGGGCTCAGCTAGTCCCGTCTCCTGTCACCAGCAGCGGCCACTGCCAGATGCTACAACGCAGCCAGGGGATCCTATTTATAGCTGAAGTTGCCCTCGGGGAAAATCCACTCACGTGAGTATTATTTGCAGTAGACAGCTGGTACTCTACACCTTACAGCTTAAGGGGTTGTCTCTTCTCTAGAACACTTGCAGGTGTTCCTTGTAAACAGATTTTACTATTAAAACTTTGAACGTTTTTGCTCTTCCTGTGAATGCCTCGCTGTGCAGAGACATTTCAGTGTAAGGACCCAGTCTGCCAACTGTCCTCAGCCAAGCTGCAGGGCTGAACTACCAACATGTATTGTATCTGTCGTGACTTCCTGACAGTGCTCCCATAACATAAATGGCTCCTGTATGTGGGGAGAAAAGAAGACAAACTGGGACATCAGCAAATGCTTTACAGCTGCTAACTCACTGGTCCCATCACGGAGTTGTTAACTGCTCCAGCACCTAGCTCTGAAGGACCTCTGGTTTGGCTGGACTCACTCTCAGCACCCAGAGCAGACAAAAAGATTCTAGGCAGAAAAAAAATACTAAAGAAAATACTTTGCACCTGAAAAGCATTATGTTATTTTTGAAATAACGTAAGCTCAGATAAGTAGAATTTATGCCCTAGTAAATTTTCACAATAAGCCTGAATGAAATGCAAAGTATATTCACAAACCAAAAAAAAAAAAAAAGAAGAAGCATCAAAATCATCCTGATATGTTTTGTTATACTGATATCGTTGCCAAAGTAGCTAGACTTTTAAACATATTAATCCCTAAATATATTAAGTGAATTCATGTATTTTTTTATGGGTGTTCTACAGCCTCCTCAATAAGAGGACCAAGCTTTTGCAGTGAAGGCAAACAACAATAACAGAGTTCACAATATTTGGAAAAAAAAAAGTTTTGCTATTTAGAACATAAGCAATAATAATATATGAACACAATTTTGTATCACTGAAACCAATGAGAGTGTTGCCCTCATGTTTGCTGGAAACAGACTAAAAATCCAGAGCACTTGTTTGCAGTCTCTAAATTCACAGCCGTACTAAGTAATGGTCTGTGTTTTGTGCATTATCCAAAAGTTTCACCAGTAACTGATAAGACCATATATAGTGAGGATTAACTCCAGACTTATCCCCATTTGGAAAACAAAAGAAGCCATTAGGCACCATGCCTAGAGGGCATCTGTATTAGTCCTCGAAATATAATACTTGGCCCTTGTAAGAGAAAGCCAGGTCTCGCACACCCCCCAGTCTCCGCCAGGAGAACCTTCAGCCTCCTCTTGGGATTTTACACCGGTCTGCCAAAAAATAACTAACAACTGCAAATTCACTGGTTACTGGTTGACAGATCACATCACAAAGAGAAACGGCTCTACGCAGGCGGAGGAGGGTAAGGCAGACGGCGTGACATATCTTTCTGAAAATTCACATCCAGTTTGGCACAGAACGATGCTTGTTGAGAGGGAAGAAGAGCCGCCTCCTTGCAGAGTACTCACTTTCGCTTCTTTCAACACAGGCGTGATCCCCACACTTCTGCCCCAGGGTCTGCATTGCAGCTGTTGGATTAACCGCCAGTCTCCACACAAATTCATCCTTACCAGAAGTCTTAACAGGGTGGAAAAGGCACGGCAGTTATAGAGACCAGCCCTAGCGACCCTCCCCATCAAGGGTCCTGAGCCAAGTATTAAGCTGATTTCAAAAATTGGATGACATGGATGCAATTGTGAAGTTTTGTCTCTTAAAAAATACTACAAAAAAGAAGGGACCACCTTCCAGTAAGTGGCAGAGAGGCACAGGAGCAGCTGTGACCAGTGTCTGTGGAAGGCACGCTGCACCAGATCTCACGCAGCGTCCAGCCACGTTTCCTGCCTGTGTAAGGACACCACGGACCCGTCAGCAGCGGGATGCCTCGAATACTGAAGTTATGCTCCTGACCACCTGAACTGCTGTCTGAAATTCTACCAGGGCACTTCAACATGCCACCACGCAAGCTGAGCGCGTCAGCCAGGTATCTCCCCTTACAGGACAACCCAAGGGCTGGTCGTTTCTGAGCTTGTTGGTTAAGAAATGTCAGGACGAGCTGGAGGAGTGCTTTATGACATTGGCAGAAGACTTTCAAGAAGCTCGCAACTCTTAGAAGCGAAGCGCGTTTGATTTGCATTCGAGTTGCAAACTTTGCACTTTTAAACGATTTTGCAGGCTACCTTTTGGCCACTCCAGCCAAGCCTGGGACCGCGTCGCCTTCCAGCGGAGCAATTACCTGGCTGGGTAACAGCAGCACCTCGTTTCGCAGCCACAAAACGCTCCCATCCCTACCCTCACCTCTGCACCCAGCCCTGGGCAATGTCTAGGCCCCGGTGTAGGGGTGCCAAGGGAAACGTCCCCCTGCACAGCAGGAATTTGGGGGGACCCCCAGAGCCCAGCGTGTCCCCGGCGCAGGATGCTGAGATGGGGGCAGACCCCAAGCAGCCCCTGGGGCTCAGGATGGGCTCTCCTGCAGAAAATATTAGAAAATATTCCCTTTTTTTAACGCCTGCCAGTGTCGTGCTTGGCACCTTTCAGTGGATCCAGTCGCGCTGCGGTTAGATCGCGACAAACCCCACGGGTAACCCCAATTTCGGCTCGGCTGCGGGGGCAAACTCGGCGTTTCCGAGCCCTCCCCTCCTGCCCCCCTTTTTGAAGGCTGCTCCCTGCGGATCACGAGCCCGTGACAAGCGGCATGGCCGCCTCCTCGCCTCCACCCCCAAGAGCCCCGAGCATCCCCCGGGGCCCCACAGCGACCCCGGGGGCCTCACAGCGGGGTCCGGGGGGGGCTCCTGCTCCAGCCCCCGGCGTTGAGGGACGGAGCCCCGGGGCCGAGGCAGCGGGGGGAGACTGAGGGGAAGCGGCGCCAGGAGGGGCCCGGAGAGGGCTGCGGGGGAAGGGGCGCTGCCGCCCTTCTTCCTCCCCTCCTCCTCTTCCTCCTCAGCCCCTCAGCGGGTGCAGAAGTTCAGGGCTGTGGGTGGGTAGGTGGGGGGGGGGAGCCCCGGCCCTCTCACCTGAAGACGCAATCGTCCCTCGCGTCCCTGGCGGGGGAGACGAGCCCGTGCTTCTTGTTGAAGAGCTTCTGGAACAGGGTGGGCGGCATCTTGGGGCCGCTGCCCCCCGGCCGTCGTCGCCGTCGCCACCGCCACCGCCCGCTGCTGCTGCTGCTGCCCCCAACACCGCCCAACGCCGCCGCCGCCGCCGCCGAGCTGCGCCGAGCTCCGTCCCCTCCCGGCGCCTGGTTCCGCCCGCCCGCCTCCATTCGGTGTCACAGTCATATGACGGCCATTAGTCACCCGCCGCGGCCAACAGGGGCGGGACGGGGAAGGAGCCGCGGCCCCCGAGCCCGGCAGCGCCCAGCGAGGCGAGGGGAACGCGGAGCCCCCGGTTAGGGGGTTGGGGGGAGAGCCCCGGGGATCCGCCGGGAGCAGGGCGAGGAGCGGCCCCGCTGCCTCCTGCCCGGGGAGAGGCGGTCGGAGCCCCGCTTCAGAGCCTCTCGCAGCCCCGCTGAGGCTTCCCTGCCTTCCCGTCTTCTCCCTTAAAGCCTGGAGCTGCACGACCCCCGGTTTTGGACCTGCAGCTGCCCCACAAACCCGCTTTCTGCCCCCTTTTCTTCTTGCCCGGCCGGGGGCAGCTCGCAGCCGCTTCTCCCTTCCCGCAGCCGCGGAGCTGAGCCCTAGCCCTAGCCCTAGCCCCAGCCCTCCCCGAGTCAAAGCGCCGGGCAGGAAGGCGGCCCGCAGGCATTTGCATGCAGAGGAAGCCATCATAACAAATCCAACAGCCGGCTGCAGAACGGCCCCGGGGACGCGATGCGCTGCGGCTGGCTCCACAACAACTAGAAGCCCCCCAGAAAAGTTCATTAGCTTCTATAAAATCAAAAGGAACTGCAGATTTTTTAAAATTATTTGTTTTTTTTTTTTTGCAGAACTGTTGATTAATACAGCTTTAAACGAAGATGGCAACACTGGGTACAGTTAACAGCCTCCTTCACTGTCTCCCTCTGTAGACACAAGACCAGCAGAAAGTTAATTAATTAAGAACTGGGTAAACAGATGCGATTCATTACTTTCCCCTCGTTTAGTTCCATTTTCTAAGGCAGCATATGATGTAATGTTAAATTAAAACACTTTTAAACAAGGATAGTTTAGTGGGTAACACATGCAGGGGATCACTCTATAGATAGATGTAACCAGCCACCTGGAGGAACTCCGGCTTCTCACATGCTAGAAGTTGATGATGATTATAACAGAAACTAGGAATTAATGTTCAGATGCATCTTTTCCCCTGTGCTCTGTGTGCAGGATACACCTGCCTGCTGCAGATACACAGACGATTGATCTTTGGGCTTTCAAATGGTGAAAGAATATAATACCTTCAAAGTCAGCACAGAAATACAGTTTCAAATAAACCCTTCAAGTAGGAAATAATACAAAATCAAAGAATTTGGCCAGGAAATGCAACTGAGCTTTCAACAGTTCCATAATTTACAGCATTGAAGACAGAGCTAATCTCAAGTGCATTAAAATTCAAGTTGACAGCGTCCCTTTAAAATATTAATCTGTTCCCAAAGCTCCTAAATTAACAGCAAGGGATTCTGAGGCTTGGTTAACATACCTTCATCAAGGTAGCAGATGATGGACAGTAAGAGAAAATGAGATGAATATGATTAACCATTCATTTTCCTGTAAAAACCTCCCCACAGATAAATCCTTATACCTACACAAAAAAAACCATGAATTTCTATTTATCTGTCCAGTCTCCATCGCCTTGGGCATCGGGCCTGGCCTGTCTTTACAAAGATTATGGACCAAGATACGGAGCCTCTTGTGTATAAGGGCTTTACACTCCAACAGCAGGCACACGTACCCTGTAGCATTTCAGTGAAGAAGAAACCATCCTTCATCATCTCCAAGCACTTTGTCTCCCGTAAGTACCATTTGGATCAAAAGTAACCGAAAAGTATTAATGAAAACCTTCTTAGCGTTTTTTTGTATAATACATTTCCGAAACATTTGTCTACAATGCTGATTTTCCAGTGACAAAGCACTATCACAGCTCTTGCACAAACTGACTCACTGCGATTCCTTTCAAGCCATTAAGACTTCATCATGTCTAGGTCTGTGACAGAGCAGCCCTATTGATATCGAGCGGACTTCTTTCCTGAATCACTGCATAAATAAGCTCTTACCATCCATTAGCTGGCTGTGACCCGTAACTTTTATCCACTAACATGGAAGAGCCAGTTTCCACTGTGAATGAAATTTTATGTAGTCATTCTTCAGTTTGAAACCAAAACATGGGAAAATGCCTACCCTTTCAGAAAAGGGGAACAAGAGGGGATATTGTCGTAGCCTCAAAATGATGAAAATTTCCTTCCCTCGGGCAGAGTGCTAGCCTTGCAATTAATTATACTTTCTCTAAGAGTCAGACAAAAGATGAAAATAAGAAGCAGCACTTTCGTAACTGAAGGGAAGGACAAGATCGTGGTTCATGGTATTTCTGTCTTCCTACATAACCCCATCACACTGAGAAAAAACAAAAGCAAAATTTGTCAGTTTTCAGGCTGTTCCAGCCAACCCCACAGTTAAGAGTTGCTTTTTCCTCTTGCACTCTCTAATTAGTTTGTCAGCCTATTTCCTGAACAGAAACTAAAAATGCTTTGGGGACAAAATAAGTTTTTTCCTACGACTCTGAGAATAACCCTTACAATAGGCACCTCTTTTATTCTGGATCATCCTTTACTTTGAACAATCACCATAACCACAACTAATTAGATACATAACTTAATTTTCCTTAAAGCTGTATCAGGGAGCTAACCTGCATCTCCTAGGGGCTCTAGATTCTTGCACTACCTAATTATCAGCAGCTTAGCATTTGTAAGAACAAGGATATCGATAATTAGAAGCTTTCCTGAGAGGGCTTCAACAAGTTACTGGCAAGTTACTTCCCTCTGCTAATGCTTAAAGGAAAAATAATGTAATGGCATCGTTCTTAACCTTGAGCCATACAATATATTTATACAGTATTTGTTTGTAGACTAAACCTATACGGATAATACTGAGAAACAGATTTCACAGGTGTCTAGAAAGATAAACTTATTTTAAAACATGAAAAAACTTCCTTTATTTCTACAAAAGAGCCTGAGCAAGGGGTGTTGTTAGTGAGAACTTTGTAGGGACCCAAATTACTTTAACTTGCAGTAAATACACGTGGAGAATAGCCGAATGACATCTACAGATTAACAATCCACAAACTGAACAGGAAGCACTGGGAATCTAACCTATGTGCCATGGAGCACGAGCATAACTGCAAAATCCAGAACACCACCAGCCAGTGCTTGACACAATTCATCTAATTAATCTATGAAGGTGGGTTTATTTTTTTTTTTTGAGTTCTTGTATTCATGTAAGGCACCTACTTGCTCTGCACAAGTCTGAAGCTACTATAAGACACAAGCATCTGGTCAGCTTTGGCTATCAGATAGGCCTTCTGAGCCTTTATCCACAGCTCGTATCACTCCTCATCCACAGAGCATCAGATCAACCTCTCTGCCAAGAAATTACACTGTATCACAGCATAAATTCAGTGTTGAGATTTCCTATCACACAAACAAGGCTCAGACTTATGAAGTTATTGCTTCACTGTGGAAATCTATCAGTATCAGCCCCAAATTTGCACCACAAAATAAAGGATCAGGTCCACTGATACCTGATATAAGCAGTTCCAGCCTGCTGATACAATACAAAGTTAAGCCAAAAGCATAAAGAACTGCCATCATGGGAGACGTGCATTCTCTACTTCTTGATGGAAAAAAAAAAGTAGGGAAGTAGAGAGCAACCTGGGAACATGATGGGGACATGAGCCAAGAAATTGTAAGAAGCTACAGATGACTGATGTAAGCACCCCAAAACTGGGTATTCCTATCTCATGCAGAGGTCACATCTTTAAACGCCAATAGCACTAAGAAAAATATCTGTAAGTCTTGGCACAACAAGAACCAAAAATAGATCCATTAATGCAATTCGGTCTGCTGTCCTTGAATCACGCTTTTTAAAAATCTAAACGAACTGAAGAAGCGTCTTTATAGAGTTTTTAAAGAACAATGCCCAGAACAAGATCTAGTTGCTTGTACAAAAAATTTAATATTAAAGTGTACAAGTAAGGGATTTACAGACTTACTGCAAACAGTATGCCAAGTTTCAGATAATGCATATGCCAAAAAATATGGCCATTAATTACTCATTAGTACTTCCGTTTCACCTCCCTTTGCTTCTTCTGTTGACTCCTGCTGAAATCCAGAAGCCTCATCTGCGTTTACAGATCCAATTTTTGGTACTTGTAATAATATCTGGGAACAAAAACGACAAGTTAAATCATATTTTCAAGTGTGAGAGAAAGCTTATTACTCTGACAAGCTGTTGAAATGTTTAAGAAAGTTTATTTATAACTTGTTTGGAGTAACCTAAATCTTCTAAGTCAGTTGCCAGTGAGAAGAGAAAACAGTTTTGAGCACACGTCCATTCCTAATGAAAAAAGAGTTATCACCCAAAAGACTCCTCAAGTAGAGATGGAAAGAACCAGCATACAGAAATCCCCCCACCCTTAAACAGTCGAAGTTAATTCTTGACTCCCAGATTCTTCTAGAAAAGTAGTAACAAAAGAACAACTTCTGTTCTGATAACAACACTTTCTAAGATCCACTCGCCTCCCAAGTATGACCTATGGTCAGTATTGCCACAATTCTCTCAGGCACATGACCTTACATCCTTGTCACGCTGAGTTCCCTGATCTGTGCGGAAGCATCACATGATGGCCATTAGTTAACACACACACTTAGAGCACTTCCCTGCATTCTAGATGCTGCACACACTCAAGCTGTGTTAAAGCAGGAGAATACATGTATGTGGAGCTAGAAACCTGCAATTCCATCGAAAACTTGCACATATTCAGCATTTCTGAACGCTATTATGCTTATACAGCATCACTACTACTGAATTAAAACAGCATACATGATGAATACAGCTTGCAGACACTGTCTGTAAAGAACTGTTTTAAATTTAGGAAGACATATGCCATCCAGTGGCGCACTGAGAAACTTCAAGAGAGATCAGAAAGGGAGGGAGTTTTAACTCTGATGGTAGCAATGAGACAATTCTGTACACAGTTCTCATTCTTGTTTTAAAAAAATCTAGGAAGTGAAGAAAGGAGCTTCCCCCTGTGCTGAGGGTCTCAGAGAAGAGAACAGAAACGTTTAGGGAGAAATAGACAATCTTTAAAGAAAAACATAGCCTATTACATGAACTACTTTCAAAGGAAAAACGTGGATGCTAAAGAGCTTAGTTTAGCTGAGAAAGACATAAAATCTGCCAGCAGCTGAATGCTAAAGTCAAACATCTTCACCTTAGAAATAAGATAAAGGATAATAACTTACTAAACAAATTGATTTCTTTTCTAGGGAGTCTCCATATGAAGCTCAAAGCAATGAAGCTCAAAGTTGTGTTTAGGAGCAACTTGAAGAGGTGCAGATATTCCCTAGTAGCACCTCCTGTCTCTAATGATCTAGCCTATGAAATGGAAACACTGCTAACAGATCTGAATAAACTGAAGCTAAGTTAAAAATGCAAAAAGTAAACTGGAGATGTGCAACGCAATGCCTTGTTCTGGAAGTTTAATCACAGCTTTGAAGACAGATCAGACAAAAGCAGCTCTTCTTAAATACCCGCTAGGGACAGTCTTTCTATACAAATCTCTCTTTCCAAAAGCTTATACATTAGTGTAAATTAGCCATACTGAAGTGCAAAGCTTTAGTTTTCTTCAGAAGAATTCACCTTCAACTTGTCCTGTACCTTAATCAGTAACATAACGCCCAGTGCCCCCTTAGTGGCCAAGAGCACGAATTTTGCTGAGCCCTCTATAGGCAAATATTTTCCAGCACATTTTTTCTGCTACAAGAAAACACTTAGCAGAAGTTTCAGAATATCTTGTCTAAGAACATCGAAAGTGAAGCTAACACTACAGACAGGAAAGAGGGTTGTTCAAATACAATTTGTTCAACAGCTGATATCTTAACAATGCCAACCAAAGTTACTCCCATGATAACGAAACAGAAAACATGAAAATTTTATGAAGAAGTTGAGATGCCGACTGAGTAGTTAGCAAAACCTGTTCTGTACCATCTTATTGACTGGGCAGTGGGAGAAAGCAGCTTTAGGTACTTAAAAGATGAACAGATAATCAAGACAGATAGAAAGTTATCGGCTTGTAAAGACAAAAGATCTTATTTTAGTATTACCTTCCAGTCCATACTGTGACATTTCTATAGGCCAGCTGGGGAAAGAGTCAACCGACTGTAGTGAGACGCAGGCATACGGACAGTTTGTGAACTCTTTCCACTGTTACACTGGCAGGTAAGAAGCCTTTGTATTCCTAAGACTGTCTGCATTGATATATCGAAGACCCTTAGAGCAGAAAGTGTTAGTGTAGTTTGTTTGTAAGTACTATGGGTAAACAGCGTTGTCAGGATTTGAAGTTTTCATGGCATTTTACCCTTTAATGCTGTGATTCTTCCAAATATTCAGATTTTTAAAAAGCCTTTAAACATAAATAGATAGTTATCATTTACAGTCAATCAATTCAATATTCCATTACCTTCAGGCACTCCTTTAGGAATGCAGAACGCTTTTGTGTTAACTGGAATTTGGTGACACCTGGAAGACCTGTGACCTGGTGAAGTTCTGACAATGGAGCAGATTTCTTTTCCATAACACAAAGGCTGAAAAAATAATGACATTTCATTCACACAACTATTTAATAGTACTGTACACACTAGCACATAGAGACTGGATTTAAGGAGTGCCATAACATTAGAACTCTTTTCTTCTGGACTCTGAAGATTATTTCTTTTTCTGAGCTCAGAGATGCACAAACAATTTCTTCTGAATTTACATACAGACAGGTGCTATTCAGGAATAAGTTTTCCCCTGATGAGGCTGGTGACAAGCTAAGCTATAGCTCCATCAAAATACAAAACATGCAGCAATAACCGCCCAATGAAAGAACAGACAACAATTCAAATTAGATAACATTTGTTGGCTCACATGAAAGATGTTCTATTGCTTCAAAAATGTGATTTAGGACTCCAGCCTCCTACTTCTTGTTTTCAGCCTATAACAAGACCCTGATCTTCTCTATTTGTTAATCTAGTGCTCATAAACTGGAGCTTGTTTGCATCAGTATATTAAGTTCTACAACTTAAATCCTTCCAAACCACCTGGTGCAAAATAAATGTATCGTTTTATTTAAAGTTTCTCTTTTTCTACAAAAATCACAGTTTGCTGACTTGTTGGGAGCTATGGCATGAAAGTAACACAGACATTACTTCTACTCCCATACTGACAGAAGTTGTAGTACTACTTTTACTGACAGAGAATCCAAACTGGCATTTAAATAGCAAGATTTTTTTGGAAAGAAGAGGTAATGCAAGTAAGGCTAAGTGCTGCTTTTCCATTAGAAGATGTCGTAAAAATGCAAAAAAAAATCTAAGATTTTTTTTTCTTTTAAACTGTTCAGCTGATTGTATTTAACAGTTTGTTATGTAGTTTGTATTGTACCATCAGCATAGCAAGAATTGGATTGTGCCACAAAGACCGATTTGTTTTTAATCACTAAAAAAGGTATAGCAGGATACACACTCACATCTAGCTTTGCACGCTGAACATAATCAATGTTTTCCAGGGCTTTATTTTTCTCCATGATCAGCACAGTAGAATTCATTTGCTAAACAAAAACAGAGAAGAATTAAATACAAAATTCTTGTCTACTCATTATTATTCCTACAGTATTCCCTTAGTAGACTATACTGCTTTATAGGAGCTACATTAAAAATTACTAACAGTTCTTAGCATTTAAGTACTGAATTCCAGCTGTTTGCTTTTTGTCTCACGCACTCCAAAATTAAGACAGAGAACCAGTTCATTGCAGCCCAGAAAAAATACTTTTGAGTTCCCCTTAAAAGTAGGGGATAAACCACTTCCTAACACTTTTCCTATTTAATTGCTACTTTTGCCATGATTCAGAATTCTCACTTCAATTTTATGCCTTTATTCATCAGCAGAGCACAATGGAAATACTTACCACCACAGCATCTGTCTGTCTGGATGGCAGTGCTTCTGCTGGCATCCTCACTGATTTGGCTGAAACATTGGCTGGGACAGATTCAAGCTGACTGAGTGATGATGCATCATCTTCTAACGGATTAGAAAACTCTTCATTTCTCTTGCACTTCACCCCTTTGGGTTCAGCAGTCTGAATGTCAGGCTAAAGGATGAAACGATTATATTTTATGTTCTAAAGCAAATCTTTACAGCCTGGTAAGCACTAACAAAAAGAATCTTAGTGTCATACTTGAGCTCTGCACAACTGGGTTGGTAGCAGTGACACAATCAGTCTGAAAAAACAGTGAGCCCAGGGGCACTACTGGAGCTATCCAGAAATACAGGCAAGCCACAAGCTATGTCCTCACTCTGTGCCATTGCCTGCAAGCACTCCTTGCACGGGAACTACACTTGAATGCACATCAACAATTTTAGGTGGGGACTTCCACCTGTACAAGCAACAGGCAAGTCATTTGTGTCACAACCTAGCTGCTTTACTGAACATCTTTCACCTTTCTTTCCGGTCCTATTCGTGAAGAACAGCGCATACCAGTTTTTAGGTCTGGAGTTCTCTCTCTTGCAGTTGTAATTTTACAGGCTTTTTTACCTGTGATAAATTTCCAACAAACAAATTAATTTTGAAACAATGACCATGGCTACTCTTCAACCCATGTCTTACAGGATGGTTTTTAAATAGAGATTGTTCCAAATCCACCCATACAAATACCTACTTCAACATAATTCTTATTCAACATAATTCTTTCTCCCTCCCCCCAACAGGGCAGCTTTACTCCTTTACTCTCCCTTTCCTTGAGGAAATAAGGTTGCTTATTAATTATATGCTCACGTGGTTATTTACTGCTACACACACATACTATGGGAGCAGAGGAATTGCATAATCACAGCAGTCTTTGCCAGTGGCAACTTCTGCTGCTATTATAGGCCAAATTAAGCAGAGGAAAATTATGTGGTGCCTGGGCCAGAGCCAGAACTGCATCAGTCACCTTTCTGAACTGTAGTTACAGGAGGGACTCCTCATGCTGTTTGTGAAGGGTGATAGAACCTAAGTTAAAGTAAGTAGTATGACTCAGAGTTTTGCTGTTGGGTAAGTTAAATAAGAAAATGAAGTTTCACTGAGCATCACAGGTGATTAAATGTAACAATGCAGTTTTATTTTTTGGCATCCCCTAACAAGTTAGTTAGAACCAAGTCTTATCTGCAGTGAGATTTTCAACTCACACTTTCCCTTCTAGCTATCCTTGAGCTTACCTCGTGATACTTCACCTGCCAGAGTAGTTGAAACACTTAATTCTGAAGACCTATCAATTGCATTTTGATGGATCTCTTTCTAGGGGAAGAGAAAAAAAACAGTCATCTGTTCTGAACGAACATTAATGTTCATAAAACGAACATACAAGAAATCATAGGAAAATACAGAATGAGTGAAACGGGTCTGTAAAATTACTAAACACACTTCACAGTTACTTGTTAGGTTATGATCTATCATCAAGTAACAGCTTATTCTGAAGATACTTGCTATTTAAAAGCTACAAAAGACAGTCACTGAAGAAAAGTTCTCAGCATTCGCAACGTGCTAGGACAGAACATATTTAAGGAGGATGCAGGGGAAAATTTAGGATCACAATAAAATTCAGATTGAGTTGTGTAGAGATGTGTAACATAGTAAGATTGTATCAAGATCATTTACACAACATATGAATGGAAATGTGTGTGTGTAAAACTGAAAACAGCAGCACAAGCGTTATAAGAAAGGATATCATTCCAAGAAACAAATATGAGGAACATGAGTCTATGCCAGAAGCACAAGGCCTGCACTGTGACAAAGCCAGCATATAGAAGGCCATGCATTGTGATAAAACCACAGCACAGCTGATTTGCCAAAAGAAAACCTGGCATCCTAACGACGGGAGGACAGCAACAGGGTTGCAGCACATCACATATACCGTTCCTGTTAGGGAAAAATACAACCCCAATAAAACAAACAAAACAAAAATAACGGGCAGCAACCTGGCCTAAGATTTATGAAAGCTGAACTCAGCAAGATCCTGAAGCAAAGGAGGGCCCCCACTGTTAGCTAATGACTCCCACAGAAAATAAAAGATCTACAAAAGGCTAATTTTGTCCTGTGCAAGCACTGAAAATAAGGAGCTGATAACAGGTGCTCCTCTCAGTCTGTACTTCACAGGTAATCCTGATCAGACCACCTGGGCATACACACCTCATGTTTTCAACTGAATGAAATCTGACAAAGGGAGTACAAGTGGATAAAAGCAACTTATTCAGGGATTATGCAGATAAACATCCACTTCCATAAAGTCCCTGTGCTGGGTTTTCTGTCACCAATTTTCCCTACAGCTGCAGAACTCAAAGAGAAGTCCATAAAGCAAACTCATACCTGCTTGTCTTAATGCATCAATTTGAAAGTTAGTGGGGACACAGGCAGTTGAAACTCACCAGAAGTGTTTGCAGGATCACATGCTTATTCATACTGTCCAAAATATCATTTAAAAGAGGAAAAACCTAAGAATTCAGGTGCATCAAAAGTCTGCTTTGCAGATTACCTTGTGTATTGGTCTTGAAAATCTTCCAATACAGGTTCTGAAAAACACAAAATCTAAACTTTAAAAGAAAAAGCTAAGCAAGCCAGACAGTGTGTATGCTAATAAATTATAAAACAAAATATTAAAAGCAAACGTAAAACTCCAGCAAGAAGCTATTCCCCATTACTCAGGCATGTCTTAAATAAAATGATCAATACACATTTCATACAGGTCCCTTGTATTACAGTGAAATTTGTTTATGGATATATTATTTAGTATTGTAGAAAATAATTACCTAATATTGCTGAAAGATTTGAGATCTGTGGTATCTTATCTATGGCCACTGCTTTGCTGGAGTCCAGGAGCGTGGAGTTCTTGTATTTAACAAAGTCCTCAAAGTAAGGGTTACTTCTCCCTGGACACAGAAGATATAAATGCAAGCTTCCCATACTAAAATTGAGTGAGTAACTAAAATTTTGACCAAACTGAACAGAAATCTCATTTGCAAGACAACCTTATTAGCTGGTCATTCCCTTCAAACAGCTTGTATTAACAGCAAATACTTTAAGCTTACAGTACAATTCAAATTAGATCAGGTCCCGATTCACTCTGGATTGGAAGATCAGATGTACAGTTTCTACATTAAGCACAGTTTGGCTCATGGCAAAAATCTGTCCTGGTGCATCACAACGAACAGAGACCACTAATCTTTCTATTGTAGATAGTTCCCTGATTTTTTTTTTGGCATCAAACAATTCAAAAAAAAAACTGAAGTCTCACCTAAACCTTCGTCATCTCTGAAAGTTTCAGGGGATGGACAACTGCTCAGGCTTTCACTTGCACCTGTGTTATAATCTTCAGTTGAATCTGTATCTAAACACTCCAGGAGAAATGCTTGAAACGCCTGTGGGAAGAGTCATTCCTGTATCTGGAGAGAGAGGCAAAAAAAAGGATTCCAGATCTTGTACAAACCATTATGACTTCCTTATCTAAATTCCACTCCCGTGACAAGTTAAATATTACCAATTCAATATTTTTATACTGATTCATAATACAGTTAAAAACAAAGGACATCCTGACACCTGTTTTATACTACCATAAGCTACCAGAAGTCACCTTCCTTATCCAAGGCTCACTAGAAATACCTGAAGAATTTAGCCTCTGATAAACCTCAGCCAGATTTATCTTCTGAAGAACCATTTAGAAACAAGCCTTTAAAAATGAGTGTTTGAGTAAACTGAAGAACTCATGTCAACAAGTAGTTCTGTCAACAACGAAACCGAGATCATGTGGTTTCACCAGGCTGGACTCAAGACAGTCTCAGGTGTTGTAGCCTTCCCCTCAGCAGGTAATATTAATAGCCTCTTCCCCATTCCTCTCCCCTTTTTTCCTAATGAATAAGCTAGACAGTTCTCTCAGAAGATTTTAAAATAAACACAGGCACAGGAAGTTTGAGATCAGTAGCTTTTTGACTTGCTGGAAGTATGCTGGCCATGCAAAAGACCTTAAAAACAAGGCACACTCACCTGCTTGGAATACTTCCTGTGCTGTTTTGGCTGCCTACAGCCAAGTCATGTGAACCAAGCACATGCTGAAATAAGAGGCAGAAGTCTAGCCAAAGATCACAACACCTTTACTGTTTCATAACATACAAGAACAGCACACCAATACTATTCTAGAAATACCATTACAATTCAATGATGATTTTTTACATTTAGTTTTATACAGATACAATTTATTCTGTAATATAATGTAGTATCACCATACTCACCCGAAGTAACATCAGCATTTTTCAGACTGTCTCTACTTTCAAAGTCGATTATCAGAGATTCCTGAAATTAAATGATCAATACAAACAACTTAAGAAAACCGGACGTAGACAAATAAATGCAGTTACACGTATTCCTGCATTAACAGACACTAACAAACTTCCTGTCTGGTACTTTATCGCCTAAACTCGCTCTTCAGAGCATAATTTGCAGCACTGTTTTCATGTGCCATCAATGAATCTGCAAGCTGACATACAGTTCTAAAATCCATAACCAGTACCCATTAATTTGATCCTACAGGCTTTGCTGGGTGAGAATTCCAGTGACATTCTGACATCAGCTGAAGTTATACGTAAGAGCAGTGGAGTTATGACTTTCCTTGTCTTGAGTTTTAGTTAGGCACAACTCATGCTGTACGTTTTCAGCATCCCAGACTGGTCCTACAAACACAGACAACTATACATGGTTTACACAACGTATTCTATGAAACATTTGCAGGATGTGTAAATTGGCAGACTCTAAGAGAAAGCTAATTTTTTTTTTTTTTGAAGTAAAAGTACTTTAATCACTATTGCTCAATGCCCTTGTAAAAGATTTCACTTCAAACACACAGTGATGACCTATTTTTTATGCAACTGCAGCGTTAACTGTCCTGGAACAGTTCTGCTCAGTCCTCTTGAAATTCTTTGTTCCAGTTGTACAAATGTGGGGAATAGCACAACAGTGGCTTGCCAAAGACAATTTGTTTGACTCGATGATCTTGAGGTCTCTTCCAACCTAGAAATTCTGTGATTGATTCTGTGATTCTGTAATTTGCATTGGTGTTCTGCCATGCTACCAACAGCACCAACAGCTTCTCTGCTGGCAAAACCACAGGAAAATGCCACCGAACTAGAGGACCACATTATGGCCGGAAAATGTGTGCACGCATGTATATAACTCACAAGAAGCTCCGCTTGAGTAGAGAAAGAATTTAACGTCACTTTTCAGTGTTAGGTAAATACCAAAGCAGCTTTCTCACCTCCAGCGGTACAGTGCTGTCTTCTATATTCTCCTCATTTTTTTCCAAGCCTGGTATTTCTTTGACATTCACTTGTATGCTGCATTTGAGAAAGCAGAACAGAGTTCAGCTCAATACATGGAGCTAGAGGAAGCTGACATAAACTAAAAGATGTGTTTATGAGCTGTCAACAACTAGCCTGAGAAGTATCAGTTTGCCAGGAATTCAGACTGTGCATCTCCAAGAGGCATCTCATAGAGGCAAAACAATATAAATTATTAGGTAGCGTTAATTATGGTGCATTTAAACATATTCTAACAGACCTTTGGTTGGATGAATGGCTCACTTCGGTGGCTTCAAGACCTTCTTTAATTTTTGGTAAGGTTTTCACACTGGATTTTCCTTTCAGGCCTAGGGAACGAGAAGTATTTAGTTTGGCAATTTGAGTTTTAATGTTAGAATTTAACTGAGTATTTCTAATTACAACACCTTTAAGTATCTTAATCTCTCTTGTCCATGCTCACAACAGTTTTTGACCCTATTTTTTCACAAATATAGCAAAGTCTAAATTTGGTTTATTATTTCTACCCAAGCTTTTTTTTTCATCAGCCTATCAACAAGACCAAAAAACAGCAGCAGGTGTTTTAGAAATCTGTTAATTGAACGGAAAACAGACCACCTTGGAAGTGACCTTTCTTATACCACGCCCAAAAGAACTTTGAGTCTAAACTAGCTTTAAATGGAGTTTATTAGTAACATCATAATCTACATACTTCTACATAAAAATTGGTCCTCACTGTATATAACCCAAAGGTGATGGAAAAATTACTTAAGAAACAGCAAATTATTTAAGAAACAGGCCAGGCTGGATGGGGCTTTGAGCAACCTGGGCTAGCAGGAGGTATCCCTGACAGTGACAGGGGTGTTGAATTAGATGATCTTTGAGGTCCCTTCCAACCCAAGCCATTCTGTAATTCTCTGATACATATCAGAGACACATTTTAGTATTTTCAAGCTAGCTTTTAGAGGCTTCAGAGCTTTATGTTTTATTTTCAGTAGCCTAGAGTTCGAAATAGCCTACCTAGAGTCGCACATTTAGGACAGCAAGTTAAAAAAGCATCTCCATGCTAAGAAACACATCTGAGTGCTGCACTGCCCTAGCACCATACAGGGCCTTTCAGCTAAAACTCCCTGGGTTTCAGGGCTGGACAATGTATGCTCAGGACTCACCCCTTTCCCTCTATCTTCCACATACACCCAAGTATAAGCAAACAGACCCCAGCAGCTGCTTGCTGTACAAGAGAACCACACACCACCACAAGCACACGCCAGCAAAGCACGGCCAAGACCAGAAGCGATGCTCACTGCACCCTTTAAACTCTCTAAATTCCTTTAAACTCTTACCCATAGACCACGGAGACATCCCACACTGACCTTCCCCATTTACGTTAGCAAGTCCCAAGACTCCTGTCAGTTTTTAATCCCGTTCTGACCACATTTTTTTTTCTTTAAAGCCTCCAAATCCTAACGAGAGATGGGCAAACTTCTACACTACTGTGAGGCCGCTCCTTTCGAGGAACAGCTTTACGCAAATTTTTAAAGCCTCCTTCCAGAGGTGGGCAAGGGCTTTGTCACGCTGTCTCCAGAGGAAGTGGTTCGCTGGCCAAAAATAGAGAAAGAAGTCCCTTCCGAAACAGAAAACTCCTTTTTATTGCTCACTAATGGCTAGGACAGAGCAGAGGGCCCTGCCTGCTGCCCCACTCCTCCCAACCCGTGAGGCAGAGGCAGCACCAACCTGCTCGGCCCACAACGAGCACGACAAACCCAAACCAAGCGACCCCAGCCCGCCCAGCGCCCCAACCTGCCTCCCAAACTGCCCCAAAACCCTCCATTTTGGGCCAAACCCCGCGCCCCCCGCCATGGCGGCGGGGAAGGAGCGGCGCCGCTTACAGCCGGGCTGCGGCCCGCGGGGCACCGCGTTCCCGAACAGCCGCCGCCGGCAGGGCTGCAGCGGCCCCGGCCGCCTCAGGGCAGCCGCCCCGCCGGGCAGCGGGGACGAGCAGCGCTTCTTCCTCGGAGCCTTGCCGCCGCCCGGCCTCCGGCACCGCTCCATTGCCCTCCGGGGAGCCCCGGGGCCGCCCTCTCCACAGCCACCCGGCCACCTCCAACCGCCCCCGGGCGTCGTTGGGCTGGGACAGCCGGAGCCCGGCTCGCATGCGCGGAGCCCGGAGCCCCCCAGGTGTGGCTCCGTCCCTCTCGGTCCCCTCCGTGAGGGGAGCAGCCCCCGGGGGTGCTCGGCGTGGGGTCGGGGGGGCGCCGGGCTCGGCTCCGCCTGGGCTGAGGTGGCTGCGGAGGAGCGGGGAGGGGTGAATTTTCCTGGGCGTTGCATCAATAAATGTTGGGCCTGAGGGGGATTTGTGCCGGCGGGGGGAGAAATCAACGGCTCGGGGGGGCGTGAGGGAGAAATGGAAGCTGAAGGGAGCTGCCCCCGGCTGGGCGCGCCCCTGGGCTCAGCCCTGGGTTCCTCAGGCTACGGCCGGTTGGGAGGTGCTGGCAGGCTGCAGCTGTAAAGCCAGCGCCAGGCCCTGGTTTCTGGCGAAAAGTGAATCACCAAAAAGTACCATTTCCCATGAAACTTCCCGCCCCGTCCCACTCTTCCGTCTGGTGGCTTTGGCTTGTGGGCTCTGACCGTGACTAACAAACCTGCAGGTGGATTTAGGTCGGCGACACGCCCCGCAGGCAGAATCCTTACCTTATATTCCCTTTGTGATCAAACCTGGTGCTTCAGCTTGTGGTTACAGAGCAGAGGAATCTCGTTCCTTCTTTAACAAGGCACAATAAAATAATAAAGGCACAATAATAAAATAATCCCTTGGCATTGCTGGGTGAGCAGCGAAGGGATAGATGCAACTGCACGCAAAAACTGGAATGGAGACTGAATGCTTTTAAAGTTTATTGTTTTAGACACATAGTCTGAAAAAATACTATGCATTCCCAATTGTCAATTCATATTAAACAAGCATATACATTTTGTTATATTATTATTGATTTAAAATAAAAAAATGAAACCATTACAGAAAGACTGCTGCATCTTCAGAGGACTTTGCAACTATTTTTTTTGTAGAAGATTGCTAAAATCAATCTCAGGTTCCAATATTCCTTTGGTCGTTATTTTATTATTTTTTGTACAACGCGTTTCGTATAGGCACACATTCTGAATTACTTCATACAGAGGACAGAGTGCTGGAGTAACAACAGATTTTAAAAAAGAGATTTTATTGTATGTCAGTCAATGAGAAAATCTTAGGAGCAGTTCTGAGAAATGTGACAGTTTAATTCTTTACAAAAGTTTCCATAGCTGACTTTTTGATATACATGCTAATATACCAAAACGGAAAAATTTACAGTTAATTATTTTTTTTACACAAATGTATATGTTCTATTTTGATCCCTTCACTTTCAGTCAAAAATAGAATAGGCAACACTTAGGAAAATGCCTCATTTGTTTGCTGCTTGTACTTTGCTAAAATATATAACAAAAGCTGAAATGAAGTGAAGGGCTTAAAGGGGCTCTAGATGCCTCAGAAAACATTTTATTTTGGAACAATTCCACAGATCTGAAGTTGTATTCCTCCCAGTTACTACAGGTATCCAGATCTCTCCTCCAAAAAGAATAGGTTCAGCTTCATCATTTAACAGGAGAAAGTACAGAGTAGAAACCATTAAATGTGCAAAGTACTGAAGAATGTTAATTCCAAGAAGAAACAAAAATCTAATTCTGGTATCAACATTTTTTTTCCCCCCACAGACAAAACCAAAATGAGATATAGAAACAAAGAGTATGCAGATAGAATTGCCTCTAAATAAAATGCTTTGCCAAATTTTACATAAGGCATCAAGAGATCTTTAAGTAATCCATTACCATGCAAAAATAGTATATTATTTCCCAGTTTACATTCATCTTGTAGCAATTTATTTACATATAGATCACCAGTTTGTGCTTTTAACACATGGAAAATAATAATAATAACATTAGTTGATTTGTTTCATTCCAGAAGATTGTGTAAGTCAGGTTATTTTGTTATAAGCAAAAAAAAAAAAATCATATCCATGGCAAAAAATGACATTGGACTTTACTGATGCGGATACATACTTACTAATAGTGATGATAGATTGCAAAATAGTACTTTATCAATAAACAACTCACCATTTCTCTTTACCTGATCTATATCAACTATTTTAACCTGTAAATGTGCCTTTCAGGACAGAATAATTCTGTGCAATTCTGCCAACGTGGCATTAAGACCTTTAAGACTGTCTCATGGTTTCTGTGCACACTTGTGTGTGTCTTTGACCATTTCTGTGGCAGAATGGTATTTTGTCTGTGCAATATATTGAGCAAAGAACATACAAAATATATAACGAAGCAATATTCTCTTCCTGGAAATAGTATGTTACTCTGATTTTCATATACAAGCACTGGAGGCAGTCTTCCAGTGATTTCACAGGCATAGCACCAGGCCCAGGAAGAACCTCCCATTTTTAACAAGTCAGAGAATACAGAAAGTCGCAATCTGCAGCACACATACTACCAAGCCTTCTGGGGAAAAGGGGCTGTAAAATTACTTTGTCACACTTGACTGCTCAAGGCAAAGGTGTTTTTTGCACAAATCCCACCTGCAGTACCAGAGCAGAGCTGTGCTGATTTCAGCGGGCTGGTTGTGTTTTCTCATGTACTTGGTTGCAGAATGAACGCCGTAACGACAGTAGTTAAAAACAGTCATCTTTAAGCCATCAAGAGTAGAGCTGTTTACAGAGAAGCGTAACATGCATTGCCGTTTGTGCAATGGCTCTTGAATCTCAACTCCTTAAATAAGAAGTGTATTAGAAATTAATTTTGTAATTGGTTATCTTGAGAAAAAAAAAATAAACTGGTTCCTGGACAACCCTGGGGGTTTCCTCGGTGGTCACAAGAAGTAGATGAGTTTAAGAGAGCTCAAAGAAAAACAAACATTCCTGGAATTTGAAGAGAAGCATGTTTATGCCTAGCACATGCCTTGTGCATGTACTCATGGCAAGTTTTAATCTCTTGCAACATTTGTTATGGTTATGGTGAGAGAGTCATCGGCAGAGGAAAATCTGATTACACAAGAAAGTAATAGAGACAGCTCTTAGTTTATTCGAACAGCTTTCCACAAGCTCTGAAAATAATCACACTTCAGAAGTGAATTTCTCTCAAATTTATCTCAAATTTTGCTTCATCCTATTGTGGTCCATATTTTTCCTTTTATTATCGAGTAACAAAGCAGCATTACACGCTTACAGAAAACAGCCATCCAAGCCTTAAGTAAACTCGTGCTGGGAGCTTCCCTTCTTGTACAGAGTTCAGTGGTCCAGAAAAGTCTGGTAAACTGAAATCACCTTAGGAGAAAAGTGAATTCAATTCAGGTGGTAGAAAAAGGTCAGTGGAAAACAGCTTTTCTATACTTTCTTCGATGCCTAGTTACCTTTATTTTAATTCAAGGGAGGGAATTGTACTGAGTCCAGCTCTTCCTTGCTTTGAAGCTTGTGACTGCTGTCATTTGGCTGATACAGACAGGAGACGGACTAGACTCCTCAGAGATTAAACTCCTATGTGACCTGATCTAAAGAGCCAGATTTTGTACAGTTATTCATGCCACACACCCAAACTCTCCGGAGATGCTGTTGCTGTGTATATTGGAAAAAAAATGAACGTACAATACCATCTGGTCACAGCAGTGATATTTCTGACTTGCCTTGGACTGATATGAATCATTACACTGGAATCAAATGAGGAATCGGGCACAAAAGGGACTCAGACAAACACTTCCACATTTGATAGTTCAGATTGCCTTGTTCTGTGTGTGAGTGATTATGCTAACAGATACCATTTCCTTCGTACCACTTTGTTCTGAAATTACTGCAATAAATCAGTCTTTGTGTAAAACTAACTCATTAACTCAATTTATTTAATTTTTAAAGCATGCAGTGGAATTTCAGAGGGAAAATGAGAGATAATTCAGATTAATAATTTAATCTTTTAGCTTCAAAAGCCTACAATGGATTTCAGTCCAAGAGAAAAAAATGTGTGCTCTCACTGTCCTAGCAAGGAAGGATCTAGGAGGCACAGCTCCATGCTAGCACGCTCTGGTGCAACAAAGAGCAGCTATTAACATACACGGATATGCGTAGGACCCTGTTCACAGGAGGAAGCCACCAACAGTCCCAGTATTCACAGTACCTGACATTACACTTTCCTGGTTGCTTTGTACTGTGCTTTACATCAGGAGAGAGCTCCAGCATCCGTTCCTGTCCCATGGGGGACTTGACCCCTTCCAATGGCTGCGGCTGGTTGTGAATCCAAGGCTTCATCCCGAAGTTTGCTGCTTTTCCCAGAGAGGCCACTGGCAGCGATGTCAGTGGGAACCGAGGCATCAGAATGTGGGGATGTTTTCCTAGCAGCCCTTTCTGCAGCCACGTCCAGGGCTCTACCACGCCGTGTCACCTTGCAACCAAAACAGCTCTCGCAGCCCATTCCGGAGCAGTGTTCCTTCCTCATCCCAGCGTGCCCAAGGATATGCTCCATCTCCATAGTGCTGTGCTGAAAGGGAGCTGGCCCGACCGGACTATGCAGTATTAGCAGCATGTAAAGTAATAAATTAGGGACCGAGAGCACATGGGTTAATGCAAGCTCAACTGCACTGGCTCTCGTGCAGGCTTTTTTGCTTTGCTCAGCTCCACAGAGCCAGCAGCACTCCAGCAGCCTTTGAGTCGCTGGGATGCCCACGAGGGCTGTGCTGGAGGAGGCCCTGGGGAGAAGTCAGCATGCCGTGGGTGGGCTGGGTTTGGATGGAGAGGAACAGGGGGACTTCTACCCTACCGCTTGCTAGAGTGTTCTTATAACCTCAAGGTAATATTAATCCCTTAGGTGCAGTATACTACTAGGCCTGTTAAGTACAAATACCAGGAGATTTGTTCCTATTTCTATTCTGGTTGTTAGGTCATTAATGATTAAATCAAATCGATGTAATTTATGTCCTGGAAAATATAAAAACTATCACTTAATATATAAACCAATATCCAGCTTGAAGTTCCAGATCAGGGAAAATAGGCTTTCACCATCAATCACTGATAGCTTGAGGTAGACCACATTATTGAATTATGCACAATTTTAGTCTCTAACATGTTAGGTTATATACAATCAAATATCAACAGACATACCTGAAGTTTTCCCTAGTTTAATTTGAAATATTTGTAGTTATTAATAAGATAAGTTTCCATAATTTACTTGGTCATGGATTGAAATTGCTGTATATTTCGTGGCAACTTAGCATAATTCTTGGTAGTGCCCTACTGTGTACATAGAGTAAAAATTGTATCACACCTGATGAAAAAAAAAAAAAAAAAAGGAAAAGGGAAAACATGGTTAGTGGTGAAATCCTAAAACAAAAGGCTCAAATGTAAGATTCAGATGCTTATCCGTTTCAGCTGTGTCATTCTGGCTCTGTACTTTTGAGTATTACTCTAATATTGCTACAAAGTCCATTATTCAGAAGATTCTTCCTGTGGTTTCAGATGGAGATGCTGGAATATAGCTCTTCTATTTGTTTTTTGAAGTAATCTCTCAGTTCTGGTCTCTTAGCCTTTAACGTTGGTGTCAACAAACCGTTTTGTACTGAGAACATATCAGAGTGAATGTAAATGGCTTTTACCTGGAATCAAAAAAGGGATATATTTGTAGCAGAGATCACAGGCACCACATTCTGTGAGCAAGACTTCGTACAGCACCTTGTCCCTCCTGCATTCCTGGGACCCTTCGACAGGCCCCCAGGATTTCCCTCAAGTGCCCAGGTGGTGACACCGAATCCTGCCACCGCACCTGGCCTGTTCCTGCACTGGCCTGCCCCCTGGAAGGGACACTCCGAAAAATGGAGAACATAAATCTCTTTTCTGCATGAAACCAAAGCCAAAACCTGGGGAGGCAGAGCACCAGGGACAGCATTGCCACATGTGATATCGTGACAGCAGCTTCACACAGCTGAAAAACGACACAAGAGAGGAGAGGGGAGCGTCACCTTTCTAAAGAGCAAATCAATCTACAAAGCAAGCACCACTGATTTGGTCTTGCAAAATTACCACGCAGCTTTGCAGGCACAAGGAATGTGCAGGAGGATCGTCTCTAAAAGAAAAGAATTGATGGTGTCCTACAGGCTAATTAAAACGATGTGAAATCTCCTGTCCCAGGCAAACAATGCCACAGGGCTGCCCTCAGTGGCTGCAGTGTCAGAGCCCATCAGGGAGCCTGCAGCGCCAGGTAGGAGCCAGCTCATGGGAACAAGCAGAAAGCTGCTGCGTGGCTGGTCACAGGCCACCGAGTTCAGGCAAATTCCCCAGCCATCTGCTGCTTTGCTGATTTCCCAAACCACGCTGTCTAGCATATTGGTAGCTTGGGAGTTGCAGGAATATAGATTGAGGATCAGTTTTAAAATCCCTTTTATGTTATGTGATTCATTTTTTCCCCTGTAAGCTTTGTTGAGCAGTGCCTTCCCCAGGGACATCCTTCCCAAAATCAGCGTTGATAAAAATCAGCGCTTCCTCCGCTTTCTGCAACCAATTTCAGAGAGCCTGCTCCCTGGAAACATCTGGCTACAGAAGCCAGAGCTGTCCTTTCACAGCCCAAGGTCCCAGCTCAGGACCCTGGTGCTGTGGACAAGGACAGAGACAAGAGAGTGGCCCTTCTATGTGTAAGGGATGCCCTCCTACAAAATCACTGGCCATATGATCTGGCTCAAGGGTGGGTTTTTAGATTACCTATTGCGACAAAGATCTAATTTTGAAGGCCTTTAGTTCTGAAGTGCAAAACATCTTAATTGTAAGAAAGATGGCAAGGCTTGCCTCACTGCTTTATGAGCTGCAAAATGCTGATAGAGTAGATGGATTGAGAATATTTCATGCTGTGAATGCCACAGCAGGAGCAAACCAGACTTATTACCACAGACAAATGTGTGCTGTAAACCATGTTTATATTGAATTTCCTTTTAAAATTAATTTCTTTTTAATATCATTTCATTTTCATGTGTAACAGGGAAATGAAGAATAACAAGTTTATGTTTTACGTTGCTTCTGCTCCACTCAGATACGGTGAATTACTCATTGGAGTTACCACCCAGAAACAGACTACACAAAAGCAAAAAGCCCCTTGCTACTTATATGTATTGATTAAGATGTTCATTATTTTAACAGAAATATGTTATTTACACGTTTTTTACTGTATTTTTAATGCTATATATTTCATTATTGATTTCACATCTCTCCTGAAGTGTTTGTCGCTCTTTTGCAGGAATATTTACACAAGCATCAGAAAACGATTAGTGCACAGGCTGAAAATAAACAAAACAGCAGCATTTCCTATGGCAATTATAAAAAGAAAAAAAAGGCAATTACAGCCCCATTTTCTTATGGTGGGAGAAGAATCAAGAGTCCTCCAGGTATTCATCTTGAGTCCTGCCTATCAGACTGGAGACGTGACCCATGCACCTGGGTTGGATTTTTACCTCTGCACACACAACTTTCACTAAATTTAATTCAAATGTCAAGCATGACTGGAAGGCAAAATCATGGCATGTATATTCTTCAAGGGAACAAATACAGCTTGTCAGTGTTAAACCTCTTTTTTAAAAGACCTTGTATGCCAGCTACAGGAAGAATATGCAATAACACAACAAATGCTACAAATCTGTTCAACATACACAGACCAATCCATTGCCTGTCTGACCACAGTGAACAGTGTATTAATTGTTTCATTTTACCTGCTCAAAGGAGTGAAGTCCGCTCTCCTTACCTAACCGTACCATGTCTTCCATTATTGCTTTCTTCAGTTCCTGGGTTAAAACATAAAAATTCCCCATGAGATATCAGAAACAACATCACATGCAGTTAATACCACTGTTCATCATTAAACATGTTTCTGAAGAAAGTTCAAGTGCCTTACTGACAGCACATAATTAGCGAATACTCTAATAAAGCAAGGTACAAGCATTAAAACGAAGTGTGGTGATGTTAACTCTTTCCTCAGTAGGAAATGTAGGGTTAGTACATCCACACAGTGAAGGGCTGAGGGGTGGATGATAAATCTGCAATCCTACAGCCACTTGCCAGACTTGGAGGCAGAATTACTCCTCGCAGACACCCATGGGGGGACACAGCAGCACCGGTGTTCAGTGCTGTGGTCCGGCTCAGTGAGCCAGTGTTGGAGCAAGGCTGGGATCCTTCCTTAACACCTACACGAGCACAGCCTCTCCTGCTGCTGTACTGTTCCCTGCCGGGCAAACACCAAGACCCCAAGGCCCACAGCACTGCGCCCCAGTCAGCCCTGCCTAGAAGATGGCTCCTCAGGGCTGGCTTCCCGTGACAGGACAGTTCGTGCTACTGCAACCACCTCTGACCACTGCAGAGACCACCTCTGACGAGGTTACACACAATGACACAAGGCCGGACTGCTGACAGATACAGAAAACAAACCTTGTTTTTACAGAGTTCTGAGTATGTTCCATCAAACCCTCTTTTCTTTGCCCAGCCTGGCATAACTTCGGAGTCTGGCACCACAATTCCCACCAGGAAGGCCTGCAGGTGAAAGAGAGCAGCAGTTTCAGGCAAAGGCTGAGCCACATTTAAGGCACCATGCTGAAGTGAATGCATAAGCAGGTTGAATTCACTAAGTGTTTATCACTTTTTGCCCAATTACATCAGTAAGTCACGGAGCAGCAGTGGTTTAGTCTTCACCTGGCTTACCAATGCTGGCATGGCAAAGGAGGGCTTTAGAGAATCAAAAGGTGACACCAAAGCTAATTTTAAGGTGTGAATTTTGGCTGCAACATCCCTCAAGCTGCTTAGGGTCACACCAGCAGCTCAGCTCCAGAATTGGAGAGGTGTTGAGAAGTGTGGCATGACCCACCCACACTGTCCCCCCATTCACGCCCAGCCCTCTGACTAATAATTACAAGGAACAAAAAAAATTTTCTGAAAACCTCATTTTTACCTGCAGGCTGTCTCCATGGACATAGATCTGGGCAACAGGATCACTACGGATATAGATATTCTCTATCTTCTCTGGTGCAATATATTCTCCCTGAGCAAGTTTAAATATATGCTTTTTCCGGTCAATAATTTTAAGAGTCCCATTCTGTTAGGAGAAAAGAAAGAAATGACAGTTCCCAGAGAAGTTATTTAATCACAGAGGCTTGGTAAACAGTCTGCTCTAAACTGCGCTGTTTAAATTGTCAGAAAATGCTTCACTGATGCATTGAAATTATTCTGAAAAAAAATAAGCTTAATCCTTTGTAAAGGTATATCTACTTGGAAACTTCAATATTTGAAAATTTATGTGGGATAATAAGATTGGCATGAGAATGAGCAGCTGGTCAGTACGCACAGGTAACCATTTCCCAATGTCTCCAGTATGAAGCCAGCCCTCCTGGTCCAGTGCCTCAGTCGTCTTCTCCTCATCTTTCAGATAACCCTTGAAAACATTCGGTCCTTTCACACATATCTGCAAAACAGTCAGAGTTGCTAATAAATTATTTTATTATTCTGCTGTAATTGCCGACAAGCTAAGTAGTAATTCACTGATACTGAAATATGTTAAAGGTTGATTTAATGACTGTGTTCCATGAAACTAAAATATATGGAGTTATAAAATGTAAATAATATATGGAGTTATAAAAAAAATGATTTTCATTCATTTTGCAGTTAAAACCAAAAAAGTTATTTCAATAAATTTAATTTCTATGCGATATTTAAAAACAAAAGTAATGTAGAAATCATAGAAATTTGGGTCCTTCTGGCTGGACTAATTAATTCAGTCTTAGCTTTTAAAGTAATCAGGCATGACATTGGCTGAAGGTACTGTTGTGGCCCTCTGCTAATGAATGCTTCGCTGCTCTGTTGGTGAATTGGTGTTTTCCTTCTGGGATGTAACATGCAATAAATCTGCAACCGTACACCTTGGAAAGGTAAAATGCTTCCATAACTACATTGTGACTTAATAAGGGAATAACTAGTGTGAATTTTATATTAAAATATGAGTTGTTACCTCTCCTTCTCCTTTGGAAGCAAAATAATTCAGCTCTTCCACATCCTTCAGTCTGATTAAGTTGCAGGGCAAAGGGGCTCCTACATGACCTGGAAATCAAAGACTGCAAGTCACTTGTCAGCTCTCTCACAGACATTTTATCAGCATTTCAATAGCAGTTGCTTGCATGGTTGTAGATACACTTGATTTTCTTGCAGGAATTGCGTCTGTGTGCAGAAATAATTTGGAAAAGGTGGAAGAAAATAGCTACCTGATGTCCAGTCACCTGGGGTGGTGAAGGTGCACCCAGCTGTGCACTCTGTTTGGCCGTAACCTTCATAGACCTGGCAAAGAAACAGGCACCTCTGAAGCAGCGCGTGTGGTTGCACCGCTGCAGAACACAGTGCTGGGAACTGTCCTGCAAACTAACCCTGCCTGCTGCAGTGCACAGGCACAGCTTTAACACACAGGTGCTTTCCCTGGCCCCTAGCTGTATACAAAATTACCTCTACTTTGCTATTAATCACTGTTGCTGTGTAGAGCTGAAAATAGTGTGAAGACAAGTTCAGCAATTAGTTTTAAAGCCAAGAAGTATGTTACTCTGCAAGAGGGAGGTGTTGGTGGGGAAAAAAAAGTGTTATTTTTCTGGGACATTTTGAAAATACACCTTTTAATGTTTTTACACTTAATTTTAGGCTCTTGAATGAGGCCTTTTAGTTGCTTGGGGCTTCCCAATCAGAGAGAAATAACACAGAGGAGATCTGAACAGGGTTACATGGCCACCTGAAGATTACCATTCCCCGTTTATATATAGAACAAACCTCATGAAGTTCCTAGCACATGCACGGGCCTGCTTAATTGCACAGTCAACCAAATGCTGGGACAGGTGGGATGACTTGATGCTTTGTGCTGGCAGCTGCCCGCAGTGACAGCAGCGCCTGCCTGCCCGAGGCCACCGGCTGTCCCCTGCTGCCCCGCTGCCGCAGGGACACCGGGCTGTTGTGGCCACAAACCCTGCTGTCACGACAGATGCTGGCAGTCCTGAGGTCCCAGCCCAGCTCCCCATCTCCCCACGGGCACCCCCGGCTCACCTGGCACCCGAGGGCCGCCCGCAGGAAGCCCAGGACGGTGGGAGAGGCAGGGGCAGCGCCGGTCACTATCATGCGGACACAGCCACCGAGGCTCGCCTGCTCAAACACCAGAAAATGAAATCAGAAATACATCATGGATCAGGACAGATGGCAAAAACCAGGCGTATTTCTCCTGCAGAATCTGCACAAAATGGCCCCGCGTCTGCTCCCTCTAGAGCAGATTCAGCCGTGCTGTGGAAATGTGAACTGACCCTGAACCTTGCCTCAGGAATAAAAAGCCAGCTAAATCTTAAAAGCAGTAACTCTGCCCTTCAGGCAGAACTAATGCCAAAGACACAGCTCTTGCTCTGTCAGATCCTTCCTGTGCTGGGGGCGAGCATCCAACGCTCTCCCTTTTTAAGGGAAATGACTTTCCAATACTTGTGAAAGTTACCACACCCATTCCCATGCCAACTTTTACTTCTCCCCCCCACTTCGTTTCCTTTTTCTTTTTCTAAGAGTAAAACGAAGCAAGCACAAGACAAAACAGCTCCTGACTGGCACCAGGGCTCCCCAGCTCCCGGAGCACCCTGTGGCCCCGCTGCCCTCAGCACCACGAGCCCTGCTCTCTGCACACTGCGGTCATCTAATCCACAGATGAAAGACACGGTCAGTTTCTGCAGTTAAAAATAAAGTGGCGTGTCTTCAGATAAGTTATCCAATTAAAAAGTGAAGTAATCAGAGCCTCCTACAGCAGTACAGTGCCTGGAAAACCTGATTTAAAGCTATTTTATTTTAATTACCAAGGGGATGTATGGCATGCAGCATGGCACTCTGATTTCTTTCCTCTCTTGATAAATCAAGATTTACACGTGCATTTTTCTCTACACCCTTATTCTCATTTTCCTAGGAAAACAAGCAGTTTTCAATATACCCAGCTGAAACCCATCCCTAAATCCAATCGTTATCTGTAGAGGATTTGCAGGGAGCTTTGGAGCCACATCCCTTCGATCAGTCACTCCTCCTTCCCCCTCCTGAGTTTCATCCCCTCCAGGAGGACACAGGAGCTGCTGGATGCCCTCATCTCCCCCACCCCTTGGCAGGGTGTGAGAGGGGAGAAACCCTTTACCTGTGGGGCATGGGCAGAGCCCAGATAACAGAGGAAGAGCAAAATGCCCCAAGAGCAGTGCTGCTGAGTCCATCACCTGTCCAAATGCAGGCTCTGGCATCATGCTGTGCCTTAAACACAGCTTCAGACCTCAGAATGAATATATAAGCAAAAACAGAAACGTAGCAAAAGTTAATGGAATGACAAACTGTGCTTCATTTCCTTTTTCTATTCAATTTTCACTCTGCAATTTGCCAGTGAGCAGCAATTGGCCCCAGCTCGCTGCAGACAAGCAGATCACACCAACTTCAAGGAAAGCCAGTCATTACTAGAAGAAATGACAGTTCTTTGACTTTTGACTTACTTCAGAAATTCCTTACCTGTATTTTATTAAAGAACAGCTTGTCCCACAGGCTGTCGTTTCTGATGATCCCATTTCGGACTTCTGCTTTTTTCCGCTTGGCGGCAAACTCCAGGATCCAGCGCTTCAGGGAGGTGTCTGCCTGGCTGAAGATCTGGGCGGTGGGAGGGAGAAAGCATCACAGACTCAGTGCCATCATCTCCTGCTTGTACAGTTACAGCTACACGGCTCTGCTGGTGCCAGCAGGGTACAGGGATGTCAGAAATACGGTTAAATAAGATGTCACTGTGGCTTTGCTGGGGTAGGGAAGAGGGCATCCAAACCCTGACTTTACACGCTTAACTGCAGGGGAAAGTCAGCCCAGTAGCTTGTGCTTTAAGCCCATCTTTAAAGGATAAATCTTCTGAGGAAGAAATATTCCCTGCTGCTCAAACAGAGAAGACGATGACCAGACATCTTTCTAACATAGTTTTCAAAACCATCTCTTTGTTTAAAAAAAAATACCTAGATGCAGAAGCCAACCTCACATCTGCACTGCCTAAATCTTTCTCATCGTTCTGCAGTTCCCAGTTTTGAGCTGTCATTGGCACCAGAAAGATCCCAGTTCCAAAGCCTGTTGAAGGGCACGAAGTGTCTCAGTGCGTGCAGGTCTGACTGGTGTTGCCCCGCCGAGAAAACGCCTCTTCTCCAGCAGTGCCACTGGCAGCCTCAGAGAGAGCAGGGCAAGGGTCTACACAGAGGGGTTTCTTATAGCCACGTCTGTGCCACACCACATAACACAGCCCCACAGATCGGAGCAGCTCTATTGCTTACACAGGGTAAGAAGTGTTTGCAATAAGGCAGGAACAGTATAAACTGCCAGGGAAATCCCCAGGACCGAGGGAACTCTTTCAGATACGCACTAGAGGGACAGAAACGCCACTATTACAAGAAGAACAAAATGCAGCTCACCTTGTCGTACATCCTGTTTAACAGCCGTGGCACAACGGGGAAGATGGTGGGACGCAGAGCCTTCATGTCGTCCGATAAGAGGCGGATGTCTCCTTGGAAGAACCCAATCCGCCCCCCGTGGCAGTACACTACGGACTGTGACGGGAAGAAAAAAGACCCCATGTAACCTCTTTGCTTGTAATTCCCACTGGTACAGCATCCCTCCCAAACGCAGGAACGCCCTTCCTGAAATCCTGCTCTCCAGCATGGCAAAAATGGTGCTTTAGAAGTATGTATATAAATTTTACAGACAATTTAGCACTGAATGGAAACGTACACGTAGTTCTGGGCACTTATCAGAATTTCAGCATCCACCAAATTTGCCACTGTCTGGAAAAGCAAGGAGCCGAAGCTTTGGGAAGGGATTTTCCCTGAGGTAGGGTCAGACCCGGGTCCGGACTTCACCCCTGAAGCCCGGACCTACCCCTGCAGCTCACGGCATGAAGACTTAAGGTTGGTAAAGAAACACATATTAAGAAACATTGTGAAACACAGTGAGCAGCAGAAGGTTTTTAGATGTTAATACTTTAGTTTTGTTTAAACATACCGATACAGACTACGTTAGCAATACAGTGCCTGATCCTGTATCCCAGAAATAGGCGCCTGCTTCTTAAAAGGTGCTTCGCTCGCACAGATCCAGAAGTTTCATATTTGGCAAGAAAAGAGGCCACTTGGTTCATCAGATGAGCAAAGAGCTGGACGGGCAGTAGAGCTGCGATAAGCCAGCTGGCAGTGGAAGGACAGCCCTGGTAGCCAGTTACTACCTTGCTAAAACTGGAAAGATGTGGTTTGTGCACCCACTTGAGTGCGTTTAGGGATGAGCATCCCTGTCCAGCTTGGACAGGGAGCGCATCCTGAGCCAGGCACCCATGGTGCTGGGAGCTGAGCCCAGCCCCACTGAGCTGTGTGCTATCCCACAAGGCTGGAATATGGTGAGAGCATCAGCTCCTGCTGGAGCACTCTGCTCCCCCAGCAGCCAAAACGGCTAACCATGCCTTAAGAGACACCTAAGTTTTTCTGTGCTGCGCCCAAAAGCCTGCCACAGCAACCGGAGCGCTCTCCCTGCGTTGTCAGCCAGCGAGAGGCTCCCTCTCCGTGGGCCGAAACCACAGGAATTTCATACGTGTGATGTGGGTTTAACAGGCACCGCACTGCCAAATCGTGTGCTACACGGCACAGGCATGTGAATAAGAAGAAAACAAAAAGGAAAATAACATCACTGCGGGCTCACTGGGACTTGCGAGTGACCAGCAGAAAGCTTTAACGAACAGATCGAAGTTTAGCTGTAAGTTCCAGGAACTAAGAATGCCAGCTAAAACCAGGGAAGCTGATACGGTCTTTGCTGTGCAGAATAATTCTGGGAACAATTTCTTAGCCCTTTTGAAAAATCTCTATATTAATGAGCTTTTTCAGGAAAGGGTAAACCTTCCTTAACCTTTGAACTGCCTGCTTCGGAGGGCTGCCCCTGTCCGCCTGGCAGCATCCTGTGAAAGGAGGTGATTTCAAAGGCTTCTATTTTTTTACCCCATCAGATGACTTTTTAATAATTACATTCTTATTAGCTAGCAACGAGGTTTGCCTGAGCAGCGGTGGCATACTGACCAACTTGCCTCTTAAAATTAGGCTTTCAAGCAAAAATATGCCGGCTGCAATTCCCCAAATCTTTCATGGGCTTTCAGTTCCAATTTGCAAATGTTTTAACGTGGCAGAAGGTATTATTTCTGGCACATTACTGAGAAGCGGAAGGCTCATATTGGGATGCCTGTCTGACTAGAAAGCACGTTTCCAGCCCAGAACAGCCCTCCCTGAGAAAACACAGAGCCACTGCTCACACACTGAATCGGTTTCCAGCCCCCAGCTTTTCGGGCTGTAGGGCTGATGTGCTCCTCTCACCTGACCTGCACAGCACGCCAACCACAGCACAAATTTTCACCTGTCTTTTCAGACAGAGATGCAAGAAGGCAGCTCTGCAGGCTGGTGAGAACAACGGTGCAGAATTGGGTTTGCTCCCACGATCGCTGACCCTAGAGCGCTTTGCGAGGCTGCAGGTGACTCCTGCCCGCTGACCAGGGGCCGTTTCCCAAACCCACAGCTTGGGAAACGCTCCCGGCACCGGTGTTACCACGTGGCACTTCTGGAGTACAAGCTTTTTTAGTGCTACGAGATATCGCTGGTTATTTAGTATTTTATTTATTTTTTTTGGCGTGGAAAAAGGCGATTTCCACTGACGCTAGGACCTTACCTGTACCATTCTCTCAAACATGTGTGCTAAAGGCAAATAGGAAATGTGTACATCCTCACAAGTAGGAGACCACTGACTCTGGAAGAAAGCACAAGGAGCCCCACGAGGCCTCGTCAGTTCAGGCAGTTTCTTACCTGTATAACTCGTTCAAACATGTGAGCCAGAGGCAGGAAGGAGATGAGCACATCGTCCTGTCTCGGAAAGATCACTTTCTGCAGGTGGAGGGCATGGGAGACAGAAAGGAAAGAAACACTGACAGGAAGACAACAAGAAAGTCATAAAACGGTAAAAAGAAAAATGGCACCAGAGGAGCAAAAAGGGGAGAGATCATCGAGAGAGGAAGGGAGCAGCGCACGAAGTGAAGCGTTAAAGCCACAGCGTCAATGAGCTACGTTAGCAGGAGGAGTACAGAGCACGGAGATGTACACACAGGGCACGGAGAGGCTCTCCACGGCGAAGGCACGCCGTGTCCATACAGCTCACGCTGGAAACAGGCGCTCACCCCGACAGACAGCCCGGCTGTCAGCCCTGCTGTCTGCCACGAGGTGCTCAGGCCACGCTTTGCACTCTCGGATTCGTGCAGACCTGCCGGAGCCTCCCCGAAATCAGCAGGGCTCCGTGGACACATCATTTTTCCAGAGCCCGTCAGAGATTCCCAGCATTATTTCAATCAAAGAGAAAAGATTTCTCCTCCCCCTCCCCTTAGGTTAATCATTGATTCGAGGCAGGGTATGTTGGATCACTTAGCTGCAGAAATTAACGATTTCTGTTAGTGTTTCTCATCATTTCATCGATTCGAATGCGATTTTAAGTGCATTATCACTGCCCCGCAGACGGGTGCAGCAGGGAAAAGGAAGGCAAAAAAGTTATGCAAAAAAAATACGTAACCAAAGACTTCGGATTGCCAAGGTTTTAATTCTGTCTCAGAGGCTGGACTTAGCAGTGGCCCCAAGAGCCTTACTTGGTCCATGCCCCGAAGGAAAGCAACCTGCCTGCCTGCAGTTCCAAGGCTAAGGCTTGCCACAACATTATGGATTAGAAAAACTGAAAGCTTCATTACCCACTGACTTGCACCAAGGCCAGTGGTTAGTGGAAAATGGGTATAAAAGCTTTGGGCTCCTGGCATTAGCGGTTTATACCCACTTTGCATCTCCACTGCTGTGACGGAATCGGTACTCCGTGGCCTGGGACATGGCGGTGGACGGAGGAGCACCACGTCCTTCCTCGGGAGATGTTTTACTGGGGTTAAATCTGGGCAAGTCAGCTTTGGGCACGCTCTCCCGACCATTACCTAGTGAAGTCAAACAGGATTGACCACCCGGGTGTTTTCAGCATCCCGATCCTTATTATGTGTCAATCTGATCTGCAGATCTATTTATATATTATTCCAAATTGGCCTCATTTTCTGCACGCGCCGTAACGTAAAACCATTAGCACCACTAGCTATGCTGCTCTTTTCACACTGCTTTAAGAGCCCAGACAATAAATGGCTTGTTTTGAAACTGGAGCAAAACGCTGCGATTTGCTAATATTTCACAGTTGGCACAGCTGTCCAGTTAAACAGATAAAATGAAAACAGCTTCTTGGCTTTTGAGAGTAATGTTGTAATAAAGCTCTAAGTTCACATATTTTTTTCCGTTTATGGAAATCACTGCACTAAGGAAAATTGTCGCAGAAGTATGTAAGCCCCTCAGCTTTCGGTATCTGTATTTCACTACCTGATACTGCTGTCAAGTGTTTTGCACTTTGCTTGACTTTATTGCTGCAGTCAGACATTGCCCTTCCCTTGCAGGTTGGCTGCGGGTGTTTGCACCGTGGCCAGCGGTGCCCTGGTGCCCGAAGCTTTGGGTTGACAGCCACGCACACCAGACTTACGTCTGAATCTGATACCTTGGAGATTAATCAAAGAATCCCACTGCCGTCACTGAGCACTGAATCCATCTCTGTGGGCCAGTCCTGGAAGACGCCACGTTCCCTCAGCTCCCTGCAAAGTGGTTATCTTCCAAAATAAACGCTCCTGCCCTTTGAGTCTCAGAGACATCCAGGCATCAGCTTCCCTTTGCGCATCTCGCTGCCTCCGAAGCCAGAAAAGCTCCACACCACGAACCCCGAGGGCTCGCTGTGGTGAACACAGTGACATTTCCTACGGCAAGTTACCGGAGTCACTACCCTACGAGTGCTCGAACATGGGAGCTCAGGGGGGTTTCATGTCATGTGTCCACATTTCTTTACAACAGTGGCCTGGAAATCTCAGAAAACTTGAGGATTAAGATAATAAGGCTGCAGTATCTCCAGCACCAACCATAAAACAAACAAGGGATTTGCTGTAATAAATTGTGCATCCCATGTGTATGCTGCTGCTTTACAGAATTGCCCATTTACTATGAAAAACTGGATTATTTGTATTTGATAAGTGCAAGCTGCATATAATTCTTTATATGTTTTGCTAAAGCAAATGTGCTTCCTATACTATTTCTAAACAGAACTTTACATGCTGCATGAACCATATTATACATCTATTTGACCAGCGCTGTGTTTTTTTTCTTTTTAAATGTATGTCCAAAACTAAAGTATACTTTAATATTAAATTGACCATTCTGTTAAAAATAAATAAATAAATAAATATTTAAGTTCCCATATACACACACACTTAACATGCAGAAAGCTTTCAAATAAAGGCTGGGATGTTGCACGGGCATCCCCAGGAGCGGGCACTACTCTCTCAGGCACCAGTCACAGCTGTGCAGGATTTGCAGGAGCCAGCATTGCTCCTCTGCAGCACTTTGCACCCTCCAGGGAGCCCGTGCTGGTAGCATGGGGATGTAATGCCCACCAGCACTGCAAACTCAGACCTCCTCCCACTGCTGTGAATTTGGCCCCGAGTAAGAGAAATCTGGCCCGTTATCCAGAGGGGCACATCCCCAGCCCTTGCAGGGACACCGCTCAACCCCACACTCCGCACACATTCTCCAAGTCAGGGTATTCACCTCCGTCACTTTCAAAAAGCCCGAAAAATCGGCAACCACGTTCCCGTGAGTCAGCATAGCACCTTTGGGGTTTCCTGAAAGGAAACAGAGAGGGTGATTTTAAAAGCCAGCAGGTCATTTCCAAAAGCTTAAAAAAAAAAAAGCAAATTGTTAAAATGTTAATTTTAAATGGATTTTAAAACTTGTGTAATTTTCAGTCATTCATGTGCAGTAATATTTACCAAAGGCACTTATTGCAATGTTCAGAAATTAGTAAAATACTGCAAACACACTGTATCATGAATATTTTTCTGTTGGAGACACTGAACAAGGGTTTCCACCAGAAGCGAGGTGCACACACGAGGCAGGGCTCCATCCACAACGCCCTGCCTGCAGCGCTGTGTCCTCCTGTCCCAGCACTGTCACTTTGCATCACCCTCAAAGGGTTTATTTCAGAAAAGAAGGTGTAGCTCAGCTTAAATAACGATTACAGAATCACCCTCCCCCTGCAGCGTGTTTTTAAGCAGATTGCTTTAATTTGATCACGCTGCTGCAGCGCTGCACCGGGTGGAGGCAGAGAGAGGAGCTTCAGCTGCAGGCACCCTGCACGGCCCCGGTACGGCGCGCACGGGGACACGTGCCAGGAGCTTTGTGATGCTGCTAATGACGGATGCAGCAGCCTCAAAAACCTGTAAGTCAGCCAGATTTTGAGTCTGGCTTCTGGCAGTGCTGAGCCCTGTGCCCTGCAGCCTCGCTGACACTGCTTCACTCCTGGCACCCCAATAGTTAAATAAAGACCCAAGTGAAAATAATGATTACTGCACACGTTTATTGCAGGGCGTTTTGAACACAACACAGTTTACAAAAAAAATCCGTACTCGGTGTTCCAAGTGCCTTTGAATAACTCAGTCCCGGATCCTTAGAGCTGAACGCAGCCCACAGGAGGCTGTTTGGTCTCGCGTACATCCGTCTTCCTCCAACGCTCCCAGGAGGAGCTGGCATCTCTGCCAAGAGCTCCCACCCCAGCGCCTTGAACACAGGCTCACCAGTTGTGCTTTGAGGCACTTATATTCACAGCTAGGTGCAAATCCAGCCACTTTTTTTCCAGCCCTCAAAGCTCGAGCCAAGGCCCGTTGTTTGTACGTGCACGCCGACCACCCAGAAATTGCTCGTGGTGTTCTGGCTGCGTCTGGCCACGGGTGCTTGCTCAGCCTTGGTGGGTGCAAGCATCTCTTTGCCTGCAGGCATGCTCAGCGCTGCTGTGGGAATTTCTCTGGCTTTGCTAATGGGATATCACAAACTGCAACTCTGTCAGCTCAGCCGTCCTGCGCCCTGACACAGCTCCACAGGCTCCTTGGGAGGTTCCTCGGGTGCTTTGAGACCCCGGGCTCTTCATCAGGAGAAATCCAGAGCAGATCGTGCTGCCACCAGGGAGGGGAAACCTTCAGGGCTGGAGGATTCCTGTGAATTTTCACCCTCTTTAGTTCCTCCGGCTGTTTAGGAGTTAAAGGAGTAAGTGCCCCTTGCCACGAGCCGTTTCCCAGAATGACCACTTCTGGAAGAACAGACTTCATGGCACTGCTTGTTCTTTCTTAAAAGTCCATGCCACATCCCTGACACTGCTCTTAAGCTTGAGTTTCCTCATAAAGACACAGCTTGTCCAGCCTGTGATGGAAACGGGAGCACGGCGATCCCGGCCGGGTAATGGTCGGTATGGCAGCTTCTCTTTATCTCAGTGCCAAGCTGCTTTGTCAATTTGACAATGAAGAAACTTTTTCCACATTACTAAATGGGTCTTTCCAATAGCACCTCCAGCGCTGTCTCGGTGCTGTGCTCCATCAGCATGTTGGGACACAGGCACCTTCCACCCCCAGGGACCCTCCACTGCCAGGCTGTGCAGCTGGGAAGCATTTTTTTATCCAAACAGTTACAGGAGAACCCTTGTGGAAATGGCTTTTCTGGAGCAGCTGGCATGCAAAATTGTATCCTGATGTTTTGGGGGCATCTGTGCACCTCTGGTCTGTCTGTGAGTGCCGATGATTTCTTGGTGCAACAATGAGAATCCAGCTCGTGCTCCCAATCTCTCCCTTGTCCTTGTGGAGGCAAGTGGGCAGCTGAGCCTAGCAATGAAAGAAAAGCATGTGTTCAAATCCACTTCTGGTGCTTTTATTTTTTCTTTTCTTGATAAACAGCTAAAATTGCTCCCAACTCCACAATTTCCACATTACAAACTCTACAGCAAAGATTGGTTTCACATCACACGAGTATACTTGGAAACCTTCAGAACAGAAAAAGCCCTTGGGAACATGTTTCTTGGAATAAAATTCTAAATCTGGTCATTAAAAATATCCTAGCATGGTCTATACAAAAGCCAGGCATTTTACAACCAAAACAGAGCATGGAAAATGGGTCAGAGCATTGATACAAGGCCTGGAAAAAAAAAAAAATAGAAGGTGATGTGAAAAGCACGGGGATGAGACGGTGCTTCACGAAGCTTCCCATTGCTCTGGGAGAATTTAGTCTGCAGATGACACACAAACTGGGCTTTGGGTGGGAGAAAGCGAAGGGGCTCCCTGGCTGTCCTATTTCTGTAACATCAGACACGGTGCCAGGAAATGTAAAAAGCCAGAAACTGGCCCATGACTGCATAAATAAATAAATAAATAAAAAACTTTTCTAATTAGAATAAAGTCTAACTTAGAAAATACAATATCAATAAAAAGATGCAATTTGAACAAGTAATTCAACTGGACTTTAACATCAGCCCTCTCTCGTTAGGTTCCCACCACTAAGGCTGAGCAGTCAGGCTCCTTTCACACCGTGCACTGCATTGTGCAGCCCAAAATGCACAGATCTCAAAAGCCCTCCAAGTAAAATGATGTACGAAGGCAAAAGCAAACACAGCTTTTTAACACAAACCGAGCAGCAAGGGGTTGTACTTGATAAAAGCCACTTACCCGACTGCAATATTGATCTTCTTCCAGAGGCGGGTGATGCTTCGGGCTCTGCAGGTGTCAAACAGCACCTCCTGCCTCCTAAACCAGCGGGGCCAAATCCAGGGTGCTCTGCGGCAGCACCAAGCGCTAGGCAGTCCTGAGAGCCCAGGGGAACCTGGAAGAGCTGCTCCAGGGGTCCCTGGAGCTTTGTCTTCCCCTGCAGGGAAGGGAAACGCTCTCCCAAGCGCTCACACCTCGTGTATCTGAGCTCTGCTGTCTCTTCGTCTGCCTTTGTAACTTGTTGGTGGATGGCAGAGTTTGCCTTTCATGTCTGCCCCAAGCAGGAGAACAACCTGCTCATCCTCTGCCAGGAGGCCGGGGCTTGGCTGGGGACGCCAGGTGTGTTTAGGAGAAAAACAGAAAGCTCTGGACGGTACATTTCTCTTTTTAAACTGTCTGCAGAAGATAAATATCCTCCAGCCAAGGGCCTCGTATCTGCACTGCAAAATGGGAGGCAGAAACGTAGGCAGATTCCCAGACAACCGCAAAATCGTACTGCCCAAGTGTGTGTCAGGGGATTCCAGCTGCAATCTACAGAAACGTAGGTATACCCAGATACTACAATACGCACAGATATCATTGTCGTGTCAGTACAGCAGCATGTTTGCACATATTGATGTGGTACTAATAACAAATCCGATAATCTATTCCACTATTTCATGAATAAAATGCCCATTCCTTTACCTGTAGTGCCACTAGTAAAACAGACAATTGATAGATCTTCTGGTCGAGGAGGCTAGGAACATGAAGAAAAAAAAAAAAGAAAATCACATCAATCAAATGCACAAGGGGTAGAATGTTGTCACTGTATAAACATAAAGATCAAACCAATTATACTTCAGCTCTGCTATAAAATGCTTTCCTTGCCCTTGGCAAGTCTCTTTTATCAGGTGTCTTCGCTTGACTGCAGACCCTATTCCTCCCTGATGATCTGCTCCAGCTGCATTAAGGTTGTGCTTTAGCGTAACAAGGCTTTGATGGAAGGTTTGCATCTCAGAACACGCCCCAACACTTCTTAGTGCAAAAATTCCACCTCCTTAAAACGCTGAGGTATCTGTATTGTACCTGATATCAGTGAGAGTATTTGTTAGAAATATGGCCACACAGGAGACAGTAACAAATGGTGTTTGCTATTCCTAGGGTTTTGATATCAGCCATAACTAATATTTCAGCATTTTGAAAATGTGCATTTTTTTCTTTCTTTTTTATTTATTTTTTTTCTACTGGTGATTGTGTAGCCATAATCTCCACCCAGTCACCAGCATTTTTAAAGGCACTGTCAGTACCCGTGGGTGTCTGGGAAAATTTAGTTCACTGACTTCCAGATAAATGCTGGAAAAGTGTGGTTAACCACAAGAGGGGACAACTAGCTGAAGCTGCTGGTGGCTCACATTCCCACTAGCATCGTTCTCAGCACCACGGTGCGTGACATTTTGGGTCACCAATGATTAAATAAATGACCTGAAAATTAGAAGCCTCTTCTGAGAGCTTTGTAAGAGTATGAGCACCCTTGGTGAAAATATCAATGCAGTTTTCCAAAAGGAAGTATTGCCAAATATTTGAGTGAAAGGCACCCTGCCACACAGCCAGTGCTACAAACACGTCCCACTGGCACCACCGGGGTAAGGCAGCGGAATTAGTGTGGCTTAACACTGGCATTTAATTACTGTCCTGCTAACACGTTCAGCAAGGATGAATTATCTCATTTAAGAGTCCCAGACGGAGCGTATGAAGCAAACACCGCACATCTCCAGTGCTCAGCACTGCCAGCCCCTGAGCTCCCTGGCTGCCTCTGCACAGGGGGGGGTTGTGGCACGCTGCCCTGACCCACACACGCCTGCTTCTGCCCCGAGCAGCTCGTCCCTCGTTAGTGAAACGAGTTTGACACAGCCAGCTGCAATCCTGAGTGGGAAAGCCAGCGTGACAGCACTCACCACAGGCGCATGTCGACTCTCCCGGCCACAATCCTGAAAGAGATTAAAGTAACACAAATGATTTCCACTACCATTCATGTGGTGTAAGCCACTTGCTAATAATCTGCAAACCACTAAGGGAGAGCAGGAGCCAGAGCAGAAATCTTTGCGGCTAGCACTTAGGTCATCCTTTGTGTCCTAAGCTAACTGCAAAGGTATCCCTGGATTCAAGCAGGGCTTGGGCTGGTTGAGCTGGAGCCAGGCTGTTTCATAAGAAGCGTGAGGACATAAGCCTACAAGGAGGAGGACTCTGTCTCAACCAGGCTCCAAGAGCAGCTGATGTCTTATTTGAGCCGGGAAATTTAAAACATTGGCTATCCTGTCAATAAGGGATAATACTACGGGGAACTGCACTGAGCCACGCATCAATATCAACAGCCACGAGCCCCAGAGGCTGAACCTGCCACGCAGTTCACAAGTCCCAGCATTTTTTACTGTCTCTGCAGAAAATACAAAGTGTATGGAAAGGAGGGGGAGAGCAGGCTTACCTCCACCTCCTGCATGGTCTGGATGCGGACCCCACAGCGCCTTCCCCTCTCCAACAACTCCTTCTCGAATGGGTCCATCAGGATGATGGAGCTGAGACCCGGCGTTTCTCTCCTCTCCACGTGGTCGAGGAGCGTTCTGGCTTTTTCAGGTTTGTCACAAATGACTGTGGAAATGTCAGCTGGAAGGAAAGCAGCCAAACAAGTTGTTTTCAGTAAATCTTTTTTTAACACAAGACTGGCTGCTCGCTCATAGCTAACATCATGTCAGTGCTGGTACTCACTTTGGGTTCACATCAGAGCTCCTAGAACATAACATATTTCTCTTAGAAAACCACTGCAATTTTAGCTAGCATAAATCAACACTGAAGCTGTAGCTGACACCAAGGAGTAGTCTGGGATTCAGTTAAAAATGCCAAAAGTACACACCATGTGGGCTAGGAAATCTAGGAGGCAAAACGCGAGGAAGTGCAGCAGTGGGGAGCCCTGCAGCAATTCCCCCCACACCTGAGGACAACCAGGCATGGGAAGTATAGGGGCAGCCCTGACCTGGTGTGGGGCACAGCGGCCCCCCAAAAACCTCTCCAAGTGACTTTAAGACACTTGGTGAGTGAAACCACCCATCTTTCGGGAAGCATACGACAAACGGACCATTCCAAGCAACAAAGCTGTTTCTGAGAAGATTATGCTAATTTTGTTTTTACCTGTGTTGACGATGTAACGAATGGCTCCGGGGCCCAAGGTGTCGTAGAGGGGAACCACCACCATGGAGTAGGTGTAGCAAGCCAGCTCGGAAATGATCCACTGCCAGGGGACATCAAAGCACGGAGGTGAGAAGGGGGAGGTGGGAACAGATTTAACACACTTGAGAATGAGCTTCAGACATAAAGCAAGCTCACAAGGCAGGAACATTAGTAAGGCAGCATGAAGTTAAAAATAAATCTCACCTCTGGGCGGTTTTGAGCAAAGACCCCGATGAACTGCTTGGTGCATGGCTTGCAGCCCTGCTGCAGCAGCCCCGAGCCCAGAGCTTCTGCTCTTTCAGCCACCTGGAAGTCAGAGAGAAAAAGGTCCACAAAAAAGCAGAACACAAGCAGCAGCAATTAAAGAGAAGACTTAACTGTGTGGGCAGGCTCTCCCATTACTCCATCGGCTATCTAAAAACCCAATTTTTCACTTTATTGCTAGCCTAGGATGCCTGTTCACCCATTCCTTTGCAGGAAGGGCGAGAGCACCAGGGGATAGGGCTCTGGGGGGGCTCACTTCCAGCTCACCTCTCTGTATGACAGCCACTGGTACGGCTGCTTGGGCTTCCTGAACCCCAGGCAGGGGCCGTTTTCTGCAAGACACAAGCAGAGACAGCAGAGTTAGGGGGCAGAGCTGGGAGCTGGTGCCCGGTGTCGTGGGGCTGCAGCAGAGCCCTGGGAAAACAAAGCTGTCAATACCGGGGTGGGATGAAGCTCACAGAGAGCACCATCAGCCCAAATGCCAGCTCCTGAATCTTTCCTTGCCTTTTGATATCAACGCTTCAAAGTGAAAACTGCTATTTTTAACACAGCCACTTGGGAGAAGGGCAAGACAGTACACAGCACTACGTGACAGGAGTACTTGAGGAGTTTAGTTCATCTTTCTGACTACTTGCCTGCATAAAACCCACCCCTCTGTGCACCTACTGGGCTCCTGATCTACCTCTGTCTCGTAGGGTGGAATATTTCTGTTCCGCTGAGGCTTTTGGTGGTACCAGAAATAATAACCTGGTAACAACAACCTGTGTGTTCAGCAAGGCGGGACATCATAAGCAGCAGACACGAGTGGTCATGATACAGCAGCGAAGTCCTCCTGGCTTTTTGGAGTGGGAAATGTCATCCCCTCACTGTGTGAGAGCTCTCTGGTGGTACCATCGCTCACGGGGAAGTGTGAGGGACTGACACACCACAGCCAGCTTTCCCAAGAGCTTTGGGCACAGATTACAGATCCCTAATGATTACTCAGTTATTCAGTTATCAGTAGAAGAGACACTGAAGCTCTTTGGGCACCTAGGGCCAGGTAAGTGCTGCGGCTCTCCTGGCCCAGCTCCCACAGATAAAAGTGCTGCAAAAGGCAGGGGGAAGCGTGGCAGGGAGGAGTGGGGTAGGAGCAAACCTGCACCCAGACCCTGCCCTCTTCTGGCCTCCAACACTCTCCGTGGGCCTCCCACAGTTTTCTCCCTTCCTGCACTATTTGGGCTTTAAAAACTTTCTTGGCCTCCCACGTTTTGGGCCTCTGAAGTCTTTCAGTGACCAAAACATTGGGGCCTCATACTCTCATTAGGTCTCTACCCTTCTGGGGCCTCCCACATGCTCTGAGCCTCCCCACCGCCGTGCTCTCACCAGAGATGCTGAATCCCCTCCTGAAGACCTCGTACATGGTCCTGGCATCGTCGTAGTAGTGCGTCAGCAGCTGCGGGCTATCCCCGATCACCGAGCGGCGCGCCCCGTCCAGGCCCTGCGTGACAGACGACATGGCACCACGACACAACATGGCACCATGACACGACACCACGACACGACACTGCCCTCAGCACGGCCTGGTGCCGCCTCTACGTCCACTGCTGTGTTCCTGCCCTGGCACCCGAGGGTGCCAGAGGGGTGTGATGTGAACCACAGCACCCATGTAACGTGGGGAGCCGTGTCACAGGGATGAGCGCTTGTCCTTGCTTGTCGGCAGAGGACGTGGCTGGTATTCCCCAAAGAGGAGTTCTAAATCTCCAGATAACATGAGGAAAAAAAATATAAATAAATAAATAAAAATAAAAACAAAACAAAATAAAATTAGATTAAATTAGATTAAAATAAAATAAAATAAAATAAAATAAAATAAAATAAAATAAAATAAAATAAAATAAAATAAAATAAAATAAAATAAAATAAAATAAAATAAAATAAAATAAAATAAAATAATAAAATGCTGGGCTCAAATTATGCCTGGATGGAGCTGGGACGTTTGGGCTGGTGAGGATGATGGAGTGGGGACACCCTGGGGGGAGTGATCACTCCGGGCTCTGCAGGTCCCCAGAACCACAGGCACCTTGTCAAGGACATCCAGACCAAAAGGAAGGACATAAAGCAAGCTCAGGCCACCAGGAGATAACGGCAGGAAGATAAAAGCAGGGCTGACGCCACAGGCAGCCAGATAAGGAGGGAAAAGACAAGGAGCAGTTCCTAGTGGCTCTCCCAGAGGTGGGGTAGGATGGGCAAACAGATGCCACCATCACTGTCACACAGCAATTGAACAGGGACAGTGCTGCGAGTCAGAAGGGAGGCTCGGTAAAGCCCCATCCACAAGGGGAAATTTTCTGAGAAAAGCTAAATTCCTCCCACCCTTTTAAAAAGTTGTTGGAATTAAAGATAGTAAGGTTTCACAGGGGGCACAGGAGAAGACTTTGAATTCTTGCCTTAGAGTTTCAGACATGAATTTAAGTTGAAACGATTTTCAGAAATATTTCTCCTCCTGAAAATGGAGCAGCTTCATTAAACTTTAAGGCCTCTTAAAAGCCTGAAAATTAATAACTCCTCAGCCTCACCCATGGATCTGGGTATATTTTCTTATCATTGCAGAACTTGCAGCAGCCAGCACCAGGAAGAGGAGCTGACCGAGAGGTCTTAATGCTGTTGCAGGGACAAGGGGCTGTGGATGTGTCCTGTAAATGTGCTGCTGGAATTTTCAATCATTGGAGGTAAAGCAAAGTTATGATTAAAAAGTTATTGAAAATCTAATAATCTAATTTATTAAATTAAAATCTAACAAATTAATGGGCTGGATTCTAGTTTTTTACTTTACAGAAGAAGGTGAATTAAGAAGTGAAACAATCCTTAGCCCAGTGCACCATGTGGCTGATTACAAGGTGAGGCTGGAGAGCTAAACATGAATAAAAACACCTCCCAGCACCCGCTGTGGTCCCAACCCCAGACCTGGTGGAGGCTGGAGGCATGTCTGGGTGCCTCTGGCCCAGCCCCACTCCCCCAACACTCCTCTCTCCAGGCGGAGACCCCAAGGAGGAGACCCCGGCACCCCTCTGGGTACCGTGCCGGGGCTCCATCACCCACAGAGCACAGAAATGCTGCCTGGATGTCCCCCCCTTGCAAACCCTGGGTGAAATCCAGCCTCCCCCGTGCCACCCCAGCCTCACCTCGACCTCCTCCGACTGCATCCGCAGGTCGCAGGGCGGCTTCACGGCCTTGGGCCGGCTGGCGAACCAGTAGGCCACGACGGCCGCGAAGGCACCGATGCCCACCAGCGCCGTGGTGGGCAGGTTGCGGAAAAACTGGCTGAGGTCATCGAATTCGGGGAGCCGCAGGCTCCGCAGGATTTCCTGAGCTTGCATCTTCTCCACGAGCGACACGGCAAACTCTGCAAGAGCCAAGAGGGGAGCCTCTTCAGCCGCTGCCAACGCACCGCTCTGCCTCCTTGCGGGGCTGCCCGCCAGAAAATACTTAATGTGAGGAGAACGGCGTCCATGGAAGAGGTGCGAGAGGAGAGGGAACATCCCTGAGAGATCCCTAAAGGACACCCGAGCACCGGCAGTGCAGCCATGCTGAGCCCTGGGACCTGGCTAGGAGCACAGCGGGGAAGCCGAGCACTCCTGCTCAGGACATTGGGGTCAGGCCATGCGGTGCCATCTCCAGCCCACGGCACACGTGGAGCAGGGCACAGCCAGCACGGCTCGGAGCACAAAATACTGCACAGACATGCTCCCAAGCACCGCTTTTTCTTTGTTTATGCCAGCTTCGCGTTCTCAGCTTCGAGCTCCTTATGGTTTATGTCAGGCTAAATTATAGGTGATTCGAGCCAAAGAGAGTTTCACAGCGTCGCTTCAAAGTTTCTTGGAAAAAAAAAACCACCCGGGAGTGCTGGCTGGGGATAAGGGAGCGCCGGGTATCAGGCTGGGCGCAGGCACCACTTGGTCCCACCCTGCACCACCCTGGCTGCTCCGGGGGGCCCATGCCAGGGCCCCCACTTGGGCACAGCCCTGGCACGGAGAGGATTACACTTCAGCTGACAGCAGGCAGACGAGGGGACAAATTTTGGGGCACAGGACGGCAGCACTTGATCCCCAGCTCTCTCCCTTTGTACCTGCCCGCGTGGCTTTGCTGTGGGTACGAGGAGGGCGGCTCGGCCAGGCGAGGCCGTGCTCCAGGGACTGGTGGCTGGGTGCTGGGTGAACACGAGGCATTTTAAAGAACTTGTATGTGCAGTAACAGCCCTGTATCAGCTCCCTGCCAGGGAGCCTGTAGCAACTGCCAGCCCTGCAAGAGACAAGCCAAGCAGATGCTGCAAGGGGAGGGGGGGATCCAAACAGTTAAGGTTTCCTGTTAAGCCCCACGGCGCTATTTATGACTCTACCAGCAGTCAAGATCTTAAAGAAAAAGCTTTTCTGCCACGGGAGCCTGGGCAGCCCCTTCCCCTCGCCCTCTGGTCTCGCTCCAGCTCACAGAGGCACCGAGTGATGAATGGAGGGGCTTCACCCCCACGGGGCCCGGGGCCCCCCACACAAAAGCACCACTGACGTTAACACAAACCAGCTTTTTTCCTCCTGGGAACAGTGTCTGGGACATGCTGAAGGTCAGGACTACCCGCTCGCAGCCCTTCCCCGTATTCATGCAGAGCGAGCTCCGGAGGCTGCCTTGTGCCAGCTCACAAATAGCCCCCCCCTGCACCGAGCTGTGGGGGAAGTTTTCAATTTTGCAGAGCACAAAGACACAGAGAACAGCTCACCTCGCCAACTGGGCTAAAGGTGGGAGCAGCACCTCTCCCTTCTGGGGGCTCTGGCCCTGGCCTCCCCATGGGCCAGATCCTGCAGCTGCCCAGCTCCCCCCCAGCCCCTCCAGGACCAATTGTGATGATCACAGAAAATAAAGCAGCATCTTGGTGATGTTTCTGGGCCGTGCCCACCCAGGCTGTAATTTTCTCCTGGGTTTTGAGCATCTCTCCAGAAAATTGCTCATCTGGTACAACCTGGCTGCAACGACGGCAGGATGAACGGAGGTGGAGCACCGGTCTCTCCCCTCACGGTACTTCTCTGCACCAGGTGATGAAAAGCAGCTTGCAAAACACATCAGTACAAGCAGGCTACAAAAAATGAGGGAGCTCTTCATTTACAAATGAATTAGCTATTTGTGCAAAAGGATCTGGGTTAGTCGCACTTAGAACTGCCTGCTCCCAGAAACACAATCAGTCCCACCAAAACTTGCTGCGGTTACTGGTTACACTCAAAACTTGAGAAGACTCCATCCGCATCAGCCTGGGAGCAGTGATTTGCAGCCACCTGTGCAGCCAAGCTGAAAGCAGAAGTCTCTGGGAAATGGGAAAGCAGCGGCAGTGCTGGCACGGGGGCAACTGGGTGCACCAGTGCTGGGCCCTCCTGCACATCCATCCCAGTACAGGGCACTAATGGACACTGGGAGCTCACAGCACCAGCAAGAGCATCGCAAGAGCCAGGGTTGTAGTAAAAAGAACAAGTGTTGGCAGCCAGACCCAGCAGCACACCAGAACACAAGCATTGCTGTTATAATACGGGTAATGGGGGACGTGTGATCACACCTTCCCTCACTGACTTCACATCCCTCTGACATATGTTAGGGCGAGATTTACATCAGTACCTGGATTTGGGAAAAAAAAAGTCATCTAAAGACATCAAAAAATGTGCTTTTCAACTCTGTAACACAGAAATAAGGATCGCTTGTGATTACCAGGAGGTATTCGGCTTGAGCAAAGAGAGGGGCACAGCACAGCCTGGGTTTGCACAGACCTTTTTTTCTTCCTACTGCAGCAGCAAGAGTGCTAGGATCCCTGGGAGAGCTAAATACAGCTGCTAGCATGGCAAGTAGGACCACGCAGTCATCTACTTGTATTCTCCTCTTTTCATTTAATAATCTAAGTTCAATGAGGACTCAGTACAGAAACTGAAGGCAGGACCCTGCTCCCAGGAGAAAGCTTACCCCGTGCAGGGGACAGCCCGGCACCTCTGGTTCCTCCCATCCACCCAAGACCTGTAGCTTCACCCACTGACCCCGGTTTCCAAACACAGTTGATTTTGGCACTTCAAAGCTCACCCAGCTTGGCTTTTGCAACAGTTAATCTTGATTTTCCATCCCCAGGTGCCTCGTGATGAGCCCCTACTTGATGGGCTCGGGGCAGCAAACCTGCCTTGGGATGGGGGCCAGGAGAGGGGCCCAGGCGTGTCTGAGAGGAGCCGCGCTGCCGGGCACCCTGCTGCCAGGACAGGTTGTGCCTCCCTTGCTTGTATTCCTCCTATAAATCACATAATTAAAAATAGTAGTAATATGAATGAAAAAAATCAGCACATTCCTTGGGTTTGGTTTTCTACTAGCACCACAGCATCACACATGGGAGCGCACCGTGAGCAGCTGCTGCTGTCACCCTGGTCTCCGCAGCAGGATGCTCTCCGCACCCCTTCTCTGGCAGTTCTGCCCCATTTCTGTCACCTGTAGGTGAATCCCCGGCCCTGCAATGAGCCCTGGATGTTCGGGCTGTGAAGTGGCACCTCTCACCCACAGGGGAGCTACGGAAAACCGCCCTGAGAGCTTCACATGGAAGCACCAACACGGGCATTTGCTCCACACCGCATCGCCACTGGTGGAGTACCCCATGGCAGAGAAAAGAGACACAAACATGAAAAACAAACAAACAAAAAAGCTTTTGAAAAAGGACAAACCCGGGTTACTTGCTAGGAGTTAAGAGCTGTGTGTGAGAGGTCTGGGGCTGGCCACAGCATGCCTGACACCTCCAGAACAGCGCGTGGATCGGGGTGAAAAGGGCTCTGGCCAGCTAGAAGAGGCGCTGCGCTCTGCACTACCAGCCAGCTTTGCGAGCAGCAGGCACCACGGCGGCGGTTCCGAAATATTTTTCTGGCACGCAGGATACAAACGGCACTATTGTGTGAGTCGGTTTTGATCTGATCCTGCTGGAAGTGATGCTGTAACTGGAGATTTGGCGGCACGAACCCGCGTGGGAACAGGCTCAGCCTGCTGCTGTGTGCACGATGTGTGCACAGGGAAGCTTTGCTCACCCCACGCAGGCTGTGCCATCATCCTGCTGCCTCCTTGGGAAGGAGAACACCTCATGAGATGGCCTCACCAGCCCACCACACATCCCCAGCAGGTGGGAATGGGGCGGGATGACCTGCTTTGTGCTGGAAACAGGCAAAGTTTCTATGGCTCTCCCTCTATCCGAGCACAAAAAAAAGGCCATTTGCCCGTGGCTGCACAGGATCAGCCGGGGCTGGCTGCGGCTCAGCTGCTCCCTCCCCGGGGCTGTGGCACCAGCAGCTGCCCTCTTTCTCCAAGGACACGGAGTCTCCAGGATCTCAGCTGTCCCAGTCCCAGGAGGCAGATGTAGAGGAACCTCCCTCCAGTGGAGCAGCACAAGATTTCCGTGCTCCGAAAGCTGCCTTGTCCCTCGTTCCGGCTCCATGGGCCCCAGACTGAGATTGCTGATCCCAAAACAGGGTCAGTGGCAAAAGCTCTGCTCAAGGAGGCACAGCAGAAGCTGAGTGGGATTATCAGCTGGTGCAAGGTTAATACTGCCTAAAACTTCCTTAGATGTTACCTGCTTCTGCTCCTGTGCAGTGGCATGGTCCACTACAAGGCTTCTCCTTCAGACAGCTCACACTGAAGCCAGCTCCTCATGGCTTCCTCGTGACGTATCATTGCTTTGATCTTTGGGACACTATATTATCATCAAAACTGTGCTTTCTGTTAAAAAAAATAAATGCCCCCAACCCACCAAAACCAGATCAAAACAAGCTCTTGCACGTGCTTGATTTTACCAACTGTGAGCAAAAGTGGTGATTTCCAAGTACATAAAACACAATTACCATTCTTTACTTACACTATACCTAATTCTTTGCAGGGTCAAGTCACAAAGATATATTTCGTTCAAGAACCAACGCAAAAGTACCAGCCCTCGTGGTTGCATTACAGCTCAGTGAGTCAAGATTCAAAAAGGGAAAAAAAAAAATCAATTTGGGGGGGATTATTACACTGGGACTCAGCATAAGGAGCAAGAGGCAACTGATGCAGAGCACGGATTTGCTCTTGGACAACTATTTCCATTGCTAGTGAACAAGGGAGGAGAGGGACGCAGCGCTGGTGAGGTGCAGCATCTCTCCAGGGACACCAGGAGCAGCACCCAGCGAGCAAGAAATGAAAGAGAAGCACGATGCGAGTCTTATTTTTACTAAATGAAAAACGTCCTCCTCCCCTCCCTTTGGGAATCAGACACGTCCAATCTGCTCGGCTGGCCTCCTGCCAGCGGGACTATTAAAGGCTGACGTTTCGATGGTACGCAAGCCTCTTCAGCCCCAATTGCTTTTGTGCCACAGAGCCGGG